AGAGTAGTGCAGACAGTCAGTTTTGCACACTGTTCCCAGATGATTTGTTAATTTTGAAGACTTCTCTCTTGTCAATATTTTGAACATAAAAACTATTGAAACCTCCAAGAATAAATKGGCCAAGAACTGGTGAGCTTTTCTCTCTCAGGAATGGCACACCGAAAGCTGCCCATTTTGAATCTGGTAACTGGAACATTCAGTCACAACAACATGCATAAACAGCATAGTTCCATAACACAACAGAGGCAGTTAACACTTCATTGGCATTTTCTCATAGAGATAGCTGTCTCAATCATGTAGCCAAAGCTGGAAACCAAACTAGCCCTGGATTTTAATCATGGGAGGAAACTCCCTTGGGAAGCCACTACACTTTTTCCATTCATCTGCTCCCAGACACACATTTTGCAATTAACACTTTCCATCTTCAGTAAATCTTAAGAGACAAACTTTATATAGGCCATATGCTACATATAAGTTTATGCTGTATTTCCTCCATATTAACAACTGTTTTAAGACAAACTGTCTCATAAACTTCTGAAGAAAAAAAAATTAGCCCTACCTTTTTCACTAGTATCTGCTGTTGAAATGTTAAGAGCACTAAGCGAAGCTTCCAAATCCTGCACTTGCTTTAATAACCGTTGCCCTTTATCTGGCAGCAACTGAATGTCCACTGTAGCCAATGTACTCTGTAAAACGAGAAAGAAACCAAAACCTGAGTGTGGTTACCAAGCTCTCTGCCAATACAGGTCAGAAGTCTAAAAAGAACTAATCTTATCCCATTTTAATTTCTATCTTGATACTGTTCTGTAATCTCCAAAAGCTTTCAAGCACCATTCAGTGCAATTAAATAGTCTTTTATCAGAAAATAACTAACGATTAGTGCTCTTTAGAAAAGATAGGACACAGGGACTCCTTTTTATGAAACAGGTAGTCAAGTGACTTGTACAATCTTAACATCTCTCAAAGCACACAACATTTGACCTACTWGCATGCTTCTTCCTATACTTGCACAAACAACAGTACTGACTTTATTTCAAAGTTCTGTTCTGAACTCTAGGTGAACCAGGGGTTCATAATAAAAACTGTAGAACATAGCGATTGGCAATTACTTATTTAAAAAGAAAAAGCTAACRGACAGGTAGTTAATATCACTCTAGTGTGAGCTTTCATAACTGGATCATTCCTACTGCACAAGGCCAAGAAAGCCTACCAGAAACAGCCATGTTATTTACAAAGGTTAAGCTGGCTGTGCCCTACTCCATCTTATGSGAATTACTTCCAGGGTAAAAGACAAGACACAACCTCAGGTGGGTCAAAACTGAGCACCCCCAAATGCAGAAGGTTGCATTACCTTGGTGGTAATTGTTTGGTATATGCTTAATATAGCCAGTCTGTGCACAGGCTGAATTCCCTCCCAAGCCACATCCTCCTAAACCATACTTCAAGTTTCTGCCCTGAGGAGATACCATATTCTGATGCCTGTCACAAGGAAGTAACCTGACAACAGAACAATAAATACCCCAAATAACAGGTGCAATAAATGACCTTTTTCTGTTTCAGCTGGACTACAAGATGGTTATGAAGMACTTTAGGGTCCTGGGGTCCTTCCATGTGATGGGATGCTGCTGCTCCTGGCAAAGATGTCTTCTGCACATTCTTTCCTGATTTTCCTGAAGGAATCTCATCTGATTTTTCAGGCTTACTTTTACCTGATGAGGAACAAACAAATTGTACTTCATCACTGTCACTGCCAGAGTCTTCACCAGCAGGCTGTGGCAGCCCTGGCCCGATTGGTGTCTTGGGCAGCTCTGCCTCTGCACCTCCCCTCAGGGCAGGACACTGCRATGCTGACTGTGCTCCTGCTGGGCAAGTGACATCTTTAGACATCACTTGCATTTCACCATTCTTCTGACCAGTGCAATCTTTCTCTCTTGCTTTTTTATCCCCACAACTTTTAAAGCTTTTTTCTCCAAGTTGCTCCTGCACTGGAGGCTTGGTAYTTATGCTTTGCTTTCCAAGACTTAGTGGCAAGAGTTTTGATCTCAGGTCTGGCTCCTTGTCCACACATTCAGAAGGCTTCTTGGATTCCCTGACATACTTGCCTTCCTCTGAARGTGTGTTTTCCCCTTTCCTGGCCTCAGAAAGGCCAAATTTAGATCCAGACACTGCAGTGTCCTGAAGTTCTGGGTCACTTTTACTTCCTGTTGATGACTTCTTTTTAGTTTTAAGCCCTTCTGTGTCTGTGGAGGAATCAGAGGTTGATTCCTTTTCATGTGACAGCTGCACACTCTTGTTCTCTGCTTTAACTCCTTTTGCTTTACTTTCCTCTYCATTTCCTTGCTTCATTTGTTTCCAGGATAATGGTGCACAATTCTTGTCCAGCACTTTGAATGGATTTCTTTGGCTAGTGGGAGGTGCTGTGCTGGGCTGGGATTCCAAGGCTTTTRAAACTTTGGCAGCTTTTGGATCCTGCAATATATACAAGAGAGTAAATACTAACATACAAATAATTAAAGTGTTARCTACACACACAACATGGTCACCTGAAGCAACACTTCATTCTCTACAAAGATCATCCTTCCTATCATTTTAATAGATTCACATAAACATTTGTAAGAAATCCAAAACAAAACTGCTGWTTTTTCTACTTTTTTTGCCATTTCAACTGTTTTTTGGGATCAAGTCCCAACACCACAATCTCTAGAAAAGAGGACAGCCAGGAAWCAAATGCAAGWTTTTTCTAAGACTGGAGAACAGTGAGCACTTCACACAGCTTAGAAGAAAGTGAAGTCTCACCTAGAGGACAGCAGGCTGATACACATTTCAGCTGGAAAATATAAAATCTCCTACTAAGCTGTTTCAGAGGCAATTACTGTATGTGGAATGAAAAGTCATGCCGGAATAAGGTGAAATACACTATAAATGTGAAATACAAATGAAACCCTCATACCTTCCATGGAATACTTCCACACCATCTCTTCCCATTCGACTTACTTTTAAGGCACCGGTAAAACAACCTATCAACRATTAAAACAAGATTTCAACCCCAGGAACCAGTAAAGAAGCTCCAAGCATTCTTTAAAAAGTACTTTGCACCAAAAACCATCACAGACAAGTTCTCTTAATCTGTACTTTATATTCARACCTTTGCCTAACAAAAAGCCATGAACATTGGCAACAGCTTTTTATGGGAGTATCGTTCCCTGCATAAAGATTCAGAGAATTTGGGTTTAGTTTGGGGGTTTGAATTTTTTTTTTTTAATTTTAGCAATAAAAGTGTAACTGCTCAAGCAAAAATATTGTGTTTAGAGCCTTAGAAGCATCTTATGATTTCAAGGTATAAGGAAACAGCTYTTCTTTTAGTTTCACTGTACAGGACACCTCATCTTTATACCAGTTCAGGAACAGAAACACTTTGCATGTTCTTTCTTTCTTAAACTAGCAGCCAACCAGGACTGCTGCAAGAACATTATCAGAATTAATACTRGCAAATTTGATGCTGAGTTTGGATGAATGCAACTGGTTCTGTTCAGTTCTGTTAAAAACAAACATTATCTGATGACCCATGTTTGTACTATTGGACATAACTGCTAATAGAAGTGGCAAACATTTGGAAACAAAGTGAAGGCGTCAGGGCTCAATGACTCTCTTTGATTTTAAAAGGAAACTGCAAGTCAGACACCATCAAATAATKCCACATGTTTCAACTTGTACAACAAACCCGCATTTCCACTTTGAAAGACTGGCAGCTTTACTCTCTCACTTGTTCATAAATAATAGAGCTAAGATCCTTCTGATCCTAAAAATAACGACCTTTATATTTAAGAGGCAGCATCCTACAAAGTAAGCCTTCAAATATGCCATAAAAATGAGATACGCTAATGACAGCCCTTCTTTTCCCGGAGGACACAGGTACAGCTTAGGTGGATGTTAAATCCTCATTACAGAAAAACTATTAAATCACAGGATTCAAGTTTTCTGACCTGTAACTGCAAATATTAAAAGATCATTAGTTACAAGCAGTTTGAGAAGATTATTTTATGCGCTGAAAATAGGATAAAGAAGAAAGAAGGAATACAGGATTTACCCATTTTAAAGCAAACATCCAGTTTTTTWAAAAAATTGAGGAACTTACTGGTATTCATCTCTGCCCGGCTGCTGAACCAGGACTTGAAGCTCCACCACGCACCCCTCATGGATCAAGCAGTGAGAAGCAGGAACACTGTAAGACGAAAAGGAAAAGCGGAAGAATAGACGAACTGCGCAGGAAACTGCCAGGCAAAACAATCACTTACGACAAAACAAAGACTATGCAAGAAACCAAGTTTGCGACTGCTGACACAGCAGTGAACTTCCCTCAGGACAGCCACGTGTGTCCCCCATCCCAGAGCCCCGCTCCCGCCGCCCCCTGCCCTGCACCCACTGTGCCGGGAGGACGAAGCCGCAGGCAGCGGGGCCCTGCGCCCCGCACACGTAGAAGCTCTTCCCCTTGTTGGGGCCATCGCGCACGCCCGTTTTCAGGAAGCACAGGGACCCTGCGGAGCGGAGAAGAGCGGAATTGTCAGGCCGAGCTCCCACACACCGCCCCTCACCCCGGGAGCCCCGGGCCCCCTCACCGTGCTCGGCGCACGGAACAGCCTCCATCGCCGGGCAACCCCACCGCGCCGTCCTTTGAATGGGCCAACCGGCCCGGCCGCGCATCCACCAATCAGCGCGGGGCAGGGGGCGCGCCAGCCAATCACCGCTGCGCTGGTCGCTCTGATCCCGCCCACCCCGCGCGCCCCAAGGGCGGGAACAGGATGRGGGCGTGGCCATGGACAAAGGGGCGTGGTTATCACTCATGGGCGTGGCCTCCGCCCCCGGCCCAGGGGCGCCTCCGGCACGGCCGCGCTCCCGAAGCGCTCCCAAATCCTCCTAGCTGGACATAAATTCATCTTCAAATATTTAAATTTTAACAATAAGTTGAAATAACAGTACTATAAACAAACACCACAGAGCACCAGGAGCTGGAAATAAGTTTGGGKTTTTTTTTCTCTTTTGTATTTAAGATGGGGAATACAGTTTTACAAAAGGTGTGCATTTCTCAATTACCGTTTTTATTAATGACAACTCAAGTGAGAGAACGACTTCGGTAATAACAGAGTTATGGAAGGGTTATAACGTGTACAAAACTATGAACAACATTTATACTAAATAACAGATTAGTGACATTAACRCTGGCAGCCAAATTCAGCCACGGTGTAAACGGATGCATCCACCCCCGACCTGCCTGAAGAGTGTTTGTCTCAGCGTCTGTGTGAAAAACCGTGCTTTTTACACAATACTATCAATTTTGTGCTTTCACACATGCTTCAGAATTTTTTCTCCTGAACACAATATTTTGGGCTAGCMCTGACTCCTCCACAACACATACATACTTGTGTGTGCCCTTCTGACATTCAGCAACTTGTTTCGAAGCAGGAATATGGACTACAAGGGATGCGGACAAAACACCTCCAGGCAAGTGGTTAACTTAAGCAGTGTTGAGTCCTACAAGCAACTGATTGTAATATTACCACCAGGCAAGTGTGTAACCTAAGGAGTGTTGAGTCCTACAAGCAACTGTGATTGTAACATTAACGACAGCAATGACCTCACTGCAGGGCATTTCCCCGTAGATACTGAGATTTTTGATTCTTTTCTCCTAAAGAGTGCCCACAGATGCAAATGTCTCTAACACATTAGAAGTAAAAAATGCAGGAGTTAGAACCTCACTATTATTAATTGGTTTATTCCTGCATTATGCTAAGAGCCATCTTACTGGAGCTTAAGTGTTCTTGCTSTAACAGCCTGTTCTTAAMTCAGCAAACCATGTACTGAATTTTAAGCATGYAGTTATATTTTMCATGGGAATGCAGTGAGATTCAGCTAATTCAGAAMGTCAAGTTGCTTTGTCCAGAGATGGACATAAGATCGTGCTGAAATACATTTCTGAGTAGGGAACACAGAAAAACAGGATGTCTAAATACAGTACTGGACCGAGGCACTGCCTCACAACACTTCTGTGCCTCTGAATACATCACACAAAGACAAAACTTGACAAGTGCACACCCAGGTTTTGCCCAGATGGAAATATCCTGCTCCTGATTTCCAAACAATCTGCAGCRAAACCTCATACAAAGCACTTCTGAGGAAAGGTGGAGGCACAGGGGAGCAGACACAGTAAACAAACGCAAATCCTTGGTTCTTAAATCCTGTTTGCTACTGACACCCACTCCCAAGGAATTATCCTGCTCACTTATATCTCTGTCTCTTTGAAATACTCAGTAAGGCAGGGCTGTAATCCCCCAAAGTAAGGAAAGGGGTTGCCCAAGAAGGCATGGAAAGTTTCCTCAAACTGGATACAGTGGTATGATCCACCTCATCCCTCTTTTCGTTTGCATCCCTCCCACCTTTGCAGCTTGTTTCACTGCCAGCAGCTTGGCTGTGCCGAGTTCCCCTTCTTTGGCAAGCAGGGCTGATCAACCCTCTCACAAAGGCCTAACAAGGTAATGTCTGTACAGTACTTAAGAACATGCAAAGTGCAATATAAGTGCCAAATGTTCTTATTTTTGAGATTAACGAATTAATACTCCAAGAAATAGAAGCACTGAGGTAAGTATAGCTTAAATACTACATTCCCTCATGATTAAAAAAAAAAAAAACACTTATCTTCTCTCTAGAAAAGATGAATCCTGAATATGAAGTGATAACACCTTATTTATAATCTGTCCAKCTTAGCACAGCCACAGAGTGTCTTTTCAGTAACAGCAAAACTTGGCACATGAGCTGGAGGTTTTAGAGAAAGGATTCTGCACTAATGATTTCCTCAAATTCCACCTCTGTGCTATTTCCAGCACAGGTCTGTTCCCACCCATTACACCCAGAGGAGCTGGAGTCCCATATCACTGAAGCAGAGTTCAGTGTCAGATCTGGCATTCTGATGACTGAACAGACAAAAATATCCCCCTGCAAAGCTAAGTAGGGCCATAATCTGCATAAGCTCTCTGAAAAAYTCAGGTTTTGCCCTTAGTGAGGTCYATGCTCCTCATCTGGGAGTCTGTGGCAGTATGTAGTATGCAAGGCACAAGCTCCAATCAGAGCACTCCAGCTATCAAGTATGATTATCCTTGTGAGCAGAAGAGGATGGATGTAACAATGAATTGAGCACTGCACACACTTTTCCTGTTTTGTTCCTGTATCAGCTTTGGCCAACAATGGACCCAAGATTCAACGGTCTAATGATCTGGTCAATGAAACCAAYCCCTGCATTCCTATGCAATGTGTGATAATGATGTGGCAGAGGAGTCAATAGCACCCTAACCAGTAAACAAACACTGCTGTAGAATGCTGATGCAAGTACCAGAATTCAGCTGTTTCCAGGTGTTGAAAAAACACTGAAAACATGCACACAAGACATCCTGGTTCTGGTGAAACACTAGCAGCTGCAGTAGGCCCCACTTAGTGGTTTCATTCTGTTTTCTTACTCCAGTGCTCGAGTCAAATGTTCCCTTCATCAATACTCTGCAACTTCAGTTTTTGGCTGGCATGGGGCCTGACACCACGCCGAGTGTTGCCACTGCTTCCTGCCAGAGTCCTCATGGGGAACAGGGCTCCTGGTAAAGCATCTTCCCCAAACAGGCTGAGTTTCACATCAGCTTCAATAGCTCTGGCCAGACTGGCTGCATAACTGTCCAGAGATTTATGGACTTCAGCTTTTACGTGAAGAACAGAATTCTTTGCAGCTTCTGAAAAAAAAAATCAAGGTAACAGTTGGTAACTGCACAAATGCCTGACAACTAATACTTATCCTTGTGTAAAGAAATGATCATGCCCTCTACAAAATCTCTGCCCTACAGAGCACATTTACCAACAATACTCAGGCTTCCTACAACATTCTAGAAACACAAAGCTTCAGAGGGACCCGCAATAATCTGTGTTTGTGTAGTTGTTTCTGTAGCATTTTTACACCTCTCTACACCCACCAACATGTTGAGCAACACAAGAGTTCATTCTAAATGTGACTTTTCAGAGAGGCTGTTGAAATAGTTTAAAGCCTCAGAGAACCTGAAAACCCTGAGACTCACCAGGGAGAATTACTAAACCTGTGGGGACTTATGCACTGAGTCTTCCTTCTTTCACTCAGACAAGAAATTACATATCTGCTCTTATGTAGTCACTCAGAAAGATAATGGGAAATGTATGCTAATGGATTTGTACAAGGAAATATTCATCTCATGCTGAGARGAGGAAAAAAGGGAATTTTGCCAAGATGCTTAAAAATTTCATAGAATGACTCTTCTTATTTCAGGTTTTATTATTACTTGATTCTTAGAGGCATTTTGCTTATTTTCACACTGTCCACAATCATAGGTTGTTTAGAAAATTCAGTTGTTACTATCAAGTCTCCTATTGAAATTATTGTACCTATCAGTTTAAATTAATGTTCCAACATTTTACAGATGATCACAGCAACGTTCTGCTAGCCCAGAATCAACAAGAAAATTGACTGAAAAACGTGCATGTGGTTCATCTGTTTCCATCCATAGCTGCTGAGGAATACACCCAGTAAAATGAAGTGGAATTTAAGTAAAAAAAGTAAATGTAACAGAATAAAATTATAGTCAGGTCACAGAAGTCTATAAATGGAAGAATTTCCAGTCTGTGAGTGACAAAGTTGAGAGGGGACAGCAAATGAGAAACACAGGGATAATGCAATCAAAATATAAGGGCAGGAAAATATATTCCCTGAGAAACAAAAACCAGAGTGCAACAGAGAGCCATSAAGACAAGTGGAGCTGCAGAGAGGATACTGCTGTGCAATATAAATTATATGTATGCAGGGAATCCCATCTTCTAACTCTTTTCCTTGCCTGATACTACTTGAGATCTGGAAGAAAGACCTGATCTTGATTTCTGTTGTACCTGCTTGAATGATCAGGTCTGTCAAAACAAACAGTGGTCAGATACTTTTCAAGACAATTCTCAAGGTCCTGGGAGGCTTCCTGAACCCTCAATATAGTTGACTCTGTGCGTTTTCATACTTATCCCTACACTCACCTTTAATTTGCTCYACTTCATCTTCAAATGTCACTGAACTCCTTCTTCGAGGGGGACAGATGCAGTGTGGGGCATGAGTGCCATCAGAGCTATAATCTTCAAGAAGCATTGTATCTGTTCCTGAAAAGAGCAAGAGTCCTCAAGTAAAACAGTAACATTGGGGTACAATGTGGTGGCAAAAAAATTCAGTCTATATTCAGCAGTTCCTTCAAAAGATGCCTAAACCCACTTTTGTGTGTAAATTTCAGCTCAAATTAAACACTGCACAGGAGAAGAATGAGGTCAATTTTCATTTAAAGGATTGGGAAATCTTCTCCTTAGAGACTGGGCATCACAGACCCCAGGATCATGCAGCAGGCAACACTGAAGAGGGACTAAAGCTTTCTTCTGCTCTTTAGTTCCTCACAGGAAAAGCATCCAAGTGAAACAGTTTTTCATAGTGCATCACTGTATATCCATTCCTGRGCTATGGACTGTACTCCCTCCTAAACTAGCAGTGGCACTTCTAACATCATTTAATATCTCTTCAGTTTTGTTCATTTGTTTAAATTGCTCAGTAACATTTGTCACAAGATGGTAACACCACATCCTCTTAACCAAGGGAGATTTACCAGGAGGCTGCTCTCCATCACATACAGCTGCAGAATATCCACAACAGGCACAAAACTGCCAAAAATAAATCCCAGCTCCACAGACTTCCTTTACWAAAGTAGGAAACCAATCCTTTACACCAAGAAGCTTTAAAAGATCATGCTCTGGTGTCTCTAGAGCAAAAATACTCTCTAAAATAAGTACTGCAGTTAGTGGTAGCTGAGTTAAACTGCCACAAAAATCTAGCAACAGACCTGGATAAAAAAATTACCATCAGAACCCTTTTTCCCTTTTCCAAACCATCTTCAAAGGAGAAATCTTAAGTAATAATGAAATCATATGCTGAAACGATCCCAAGTGTTTATGTTTACACTGCAGAATGGACAAGACAAGATCTCTTACAAAATAGGAAACAGAGAAGCACATTATCCACAGCACTTTGTTGCTCTGTTTCTTGTGGATACAGAACAGACATTGAAGGAGAAGGGCACAAAAGCAGTGARTCTTGTTCCCAGGACACATTACCAAGRGAGGGTCATCATTCTGTAAGCAGCATTTTGCAATTAAATCTGTTCAGATCAAGGGAGGAAAAAAGCAACTGCTGCAATTTTGTTGTAACAGCTGGAACAGATGCTTCATGTCATTGTCCACCAGGAGACATCTGTGTGTGTAAATGCTGACTGTCCATGAGACTGTTGCCAAGTGCAAACTTCTGCCCAAGTAGGGAGCAAAAGACTTGCAGTTACCTGAATCCTGGGAGCAGCTGAAACCTGTGCCTCCTGTGCTGCTGYTGTTTCCCAGTGGCCTCCCACCTGCCATCAGGGCAGTAAGATGAGGAGATAGTCCCAAATCTGCAGGAAAGTTTTGGTTTTGTTACACAGTGAACAGATAAGGAGTTTRCAACAGCAAAAACTTCTTCCAGTAGTACCCACTCTACTGCCTTATTTATTATTCTGCATATRAAACTTACCTTGCTAACCCAGAGTGCACAGCTTCTGGACTTCTCATCTAAGAAATCCAGTCAGCAGTTCTCAGGTTTGGAAAGGCAAATCTCCTTTCTCCGTGCACCATYTCCCTCCCACTCTTGCTGCAACTACGTGTGTTTTATCAGCCAGACAGGCTGAGCACCAAGCACATAGGGAGATATGCCAGGCATCTTCTAGAGAGAGAATAACCTGGTAGCCACCAGCAGCTGTGACAGGCCATTAGTGTGGGAAAAAGCTTATGAACAAGGCTGGAGCACAGTCATGTCCAACTTCTTTCAAATCTTCAAAACAAGAAGGGAGGAGATATTGGGATTTTTACAAAGGTGATTTCTCTGGATCCCACCTTGAGATTTTGTTGGGGGTTTGTTGGGGGTCTTTTTCCCCTCCTTATCAGCCTCCAGCTACTACATCTGTTAAGAAGTTGACAGCTTTAATTTATCCCTTGGAAAGAGAAAAATTTCCTATCTTTTCCCTCTCCACCCCAGTTTCCAATATATTTATCCATAGCATTGCCTGGATACAGACTTGCCAAAGCTCCTGCAGCTTGTGATGTGGTTACAGCTCCACGACTCTTTCATTTATATGATAGTCTTTCCCAGTCCTCCCAGGCTGCAGAAAAGATAACGGACTCCTCGCTGCTCTCATCTTCCTTCTGCATTTTAGATCATCCTTCCCAATTAAATAATTTCAGTTCCTGCCCCTGCAGGAAACATCCCTTCAAGATGTTCTATTTYTGGAAGCTTCTGAACAGGACCAGGGAAATTATTAAAAAACAGAATGTTATTGCATTGCTACTTTAAAAAACAACGTAACACCAAACTGAGCAACTGGAGCTCTCAGTCTGTTTGGGGACACACCAAATAGTTTTACTGTTTTACACAGTTTTACTTTGTTTCTGATCTTTTCTTTCCAAYCATTAAGTCTAAAAACTGAACTTGCAGGAACAGTTACGCCAGTGGAACCTCAGTGGATTTCAGAGTTGTAGCATAAGGCCATCAATTAAAGAGAAAGTGCTGCAAAAAGTACTGTTGGTAGAGCTCAAATCTGGGCGACATAAAAYGGAAGGCACGCAAAAGTAAATGCTTGAGAAAGAAGAAAATAAATTATTTTTATTTACCTTACCACTCTCTCTTTCCTGCCAGAGAAAGTTTTACTATAGTAGGAGAAAGATGTTAACTATAAAAAAAGAGAAAAGTTCTCCTTTCAAATGTCTATWACATGACTGATAAAAGACTGCTGAAAGCTCTGGGAATATCCAACTTGCTTTACAGAGAGCCCTGAAACATGCCAAATAGGAAGCCTTGCTCTTACTGGTATTAAGGAAGTGTCTTTTGCAGTTACATCTTACCTGTGATCCTGTTGGAAATGCTGAATAGCCTTGATGTCCTGTGCCGCTGAACAAAGGACTCGCGGTAATACCGATCCCCAAAGCACATTCCCAGTAGTTCCTTGCGCACTGTCTTGTTCCACAGCCCATAAATTAGGGGATGGCAAATGGCACTGGAAAAGGACAGCCATGTAGCCAATGTCTCCAAAGCAGGGGAAATACTGTTTTTCCCCCAAAGTGCCTCTGATGTAATAACTACCATGTAAGGCCCCCAYGTAATGACAAAAGCCCCAATGACAACCAAGATGGTAATGAAAGCTTTGCATTGGTTGGCTGARTAAACAACCCCTTGGAAAGCATTCCTTCGGCTTCCAGAGGAGGATGTGGAGGTGCTGGAGTTCTTCCTCCCRTTCCTCTGCGAGTCCTCCTCCACAATGACCACGCTCCCACAGTGGATTTTGCGGGCCTTGATCCTCGCCACRCGGAATATGAATCCATAGCAGATCATCATGACCACGAACGGCAGCAGTGCACACCAGATCTGCCAAAAGGCAGTGTAGGCAGCCTCCTTATGCCAGGCTGCCACACACATCCACTTGAATTGGTCAAATTCCAAAGAGGACCAGCCAAAAAGAGGAGGGAGGCAGCCAATAAGGGAATGCAGCCACACGTACACAAGAGCTACCACTGCTCTGTTGCCYGTTATCTTCATTGGATAAACCATTGGGTACAGGACTGCATAGTACCTGAGGGGCAAGAAAAGAAGTAGTCCACAGTAGCATGAAAAACATACAACAAAAAACACCCACATTTTAATATCTAGGTTGTTTTTCTTTTATCAAGTTTTCCTTCAAGCATGCTCAGAGACCCTGTTTCTAAAAACAGTTACATGCAAAAATTGATATCACTGCAGTCAAGATTGTTAAACTTGGCTGAAGGCACACAAGCAACCATTAAATGGTTCCTATGTGTGAGTCCATGCTTAGGGTATAATGTGGAATTTTAAGTCACTATTCCATGTTTRTCAAATAGGATGATGATGTACTATCAAAAGTTTTAAAAATCTCTAGATGCATATCTGCATTTTCCATTATGTCATCAATAATGGAAAGACAACACTTTGTCTTGTTCTACATCAAGCTGCTGGAGAGAAAATGACACTCCAGCAGTACACCATGTTACTCTCTGCAGTGCTTCCCCACTCTATGAACCCCCAGCAAGTCACTCTATGAGATGAGCAATTTGTTACAATTCATATAGAGAAGCTTACCTATCTATAGCAATGAGTCCCAGAGTGAGCATGCTCGCTGAGCTGATCAGCATGTAGAGCAGGGCTGAGAAATTGCACCAAACAACCCCGAAGATCCATTCTCGCTTGATGGAGCTGGTGACAACAAAAGGCAGCACCAGCAAAGAGAGCAGGAAGTTGGAGAGGGTCAGGCTGAGCACAAACTTGTTGCTCAAGGTGAGAAGGTACGACTTGCGATACAGGGTGACGACAATCACCAGGTTGCCCAAACAGATGAAGATGGCAATGACGATTATAGCAATGGACTCAGTGACTTTGACTGCCCCATCTTCCTCTGTCGTCAGGTTCCTCAGGCCCTTCCCATTGCTGAGGGAGGAATTGCTGCTCATGGTCAGAGCGTGTGGAGTTGGAGCAGCCAAGACATGCTGAGCAGCTAGAAGCAGGACAACGCTCAGAAACATTCACGTAATAGTTCTTCRAACTCTTTCCAATGACTGGAGACCYTTTCGCTGGTGTTAAAATTTACCTGTAGTATGCAGGAAACCATTTTAGATGGGCAAGMAAAGGGGCAGTAAATTATCCATGAGCACAACAAAAAGGACAGAACGAAGAAAAGAAGAGGTAAAGGGACGAAACAGGAAAGAAAATGAGCGCATTTTATTTTAAAGTTTGCTGAGGATCTCACTTGTTTCTAAGTCCTACTTACCAGCTGTGCATGTTACTCAGCCCCTTCATTTAGGCTGTGAAGAAACAAGAATGTCACTATCAGTTTTGCTTAAAGAAAGTCACTTTTTAAAGAAATCCTGCCTGTTTATCCTCATTGCTGTATTGTTGYATTCTGCCTATGCAGCATTTGTTGGTGGTCTACGGATGCCTGGGTACTCATATCCTGCTGACTCTTTCTTAACAACTGCTAAGTAGCATTCAGAGACTCAAGACCCACTTCATCTACTCTCAAATKCATTTCTCTATGTTCATAATCACCTTAGCTACAGTGCTGACTGCCAATACCAAAGGACCAGGGGAGCTGTTTCTGACCATGAGCTTTGAAAGACACTTTCTTGCATTGAGATGAGGTCAATGCTACAGAAATGCTTGAGAACCTTTAATCCTTGACTTTTCACTGTTAGCATCCTTCCCACTGATTCASAATCTCACTTTGTGAAAACTTGTTATTTCTCCCAATTCCTTAGCAACTCCTCTTTTCCCTCCTGTCTCCAAATGGCATTTACTATCTACTTCATTCAGCCCTTCATCTGCAGGACAGCATACTGAACAAACAAACACCAAACAAAAACTAACAGAAAAAAATGCATATACGCAGTCCAAAAAAGTAAAAGAGTCCGCCAAGTAATATAAGGTTGATTCTAGCATTTCTTGGAAGTAAGGAACTGAGGAAAGTTATCTCAGCTAATTCTGCAGCTGTGCCAGATATGGGTCCCAGCCAGMCGGGACTACTCACAGAAATGCTTCCATCTGTGTGGTTGCTGTGGCATTAGGCAGCAGTGTCAGTCTGGAAAGAYGCCTTTTTTCCATTTTTATCTGTACTTTCCTAAGAACATAATTAAAGACATTACTGGGCCATACTTTGTAAAAACATAACTTAGCTCTTCCCCAGCCTCGGACTAAGGATGTTTGTGAAAACACTTCCCCTCTAGTTTGTGTCTCTCTTCGCATGCCCGCAGCACCTGTGTGTATTACCTGTCCGATGATTTTTGGCCGGAGGTGCTTTTGGAAGGGAGGTTTTCCCCGCGGCCGCTCCCTGCGCTAGCGATGCCCTGGGCACCTGGCGCTCCCCGTCCCCTCACGGCCCTGCTGTACCCTCGGGAGAAAAGCGGCCTCCGGCAGATGTGGCCAGCCCGGGACAGGGCAGCCCGGGGCGGAGACAGCATCCCATCCCATCCCATCCCAACTCACCCCAACCCATCCCAGGCTTCCCGCACACACAAAGCGGGTGGGACCGAGTTGGAAAAACTGGAGGAGAAGGGGGGTTTCGCCATTTTGCCCCCGAGCTCCCTCCGGCAGCCAACAAAGGGCTGGAACAGGGTCCATCGGGCATCCATCGCCTGCCCCGACCCGCCGGCGGCGAGGGGGTCCGGCCACCGCTCCCGCCGCCTCTGCCCCCGCCCCGAAGGGCTGGAACAGGGTCCATCGGGCATCCATCGCCTGCCCCGACCCGCCGGCGGCGAGGGGGTCCGGCCACCGCTCCCGCCGCCTCTGCCCCCGCCCCGGCTCCGCACTCACCGCCCGACGCCGCCAGAGCGGGACGTTCTCGGTTGGGGCGCTCGGGACCCCCTCAGCCGGCACGGCCCGAGCCTCCTCCCCCGCCATGGCCACGGCCCCGCGCCCGCCCCTGCTGCCGGCCCGCCCCGCCGCCTCAGCCCGCCGCGCCCCCTCCCCGCCCGCCATGTTCTCCGCCCGCGGCCGGGCCCCGCGCTGCCCGCCAAGGCTGAAAAGGCGGGCGGCAAATACTGCACAGCCGTGAGGTAAAGTCACTTGTCCCGGCTCGTGGTRCTAAGCACTCGCAGAGCCTAAGTGCTACACTTCCTAGTCCCTAAAACACCATTAAAAGTTAYACAGAGAAGTTTTTTGGAAGAGTTTTTGCCCTGCAGCACACATCTGGAGCAGGTCATCGGGTATCAGTATAAAGGGTGAATGATAAATAAACACTGTGATTGTACGTTCCTAGTTCCTGGCTTTCCCTGGCAAGGCCCTTGAGCACAGAGGGTGACCACCCTGATATGAGCTGTGCTATGATTTGATTGCTCTGTGGAGTTTTTAATGCTGTGGACATCAGTTTCCTGTGTCTGCTGCCTCAGTTTGYTCCAATGCTCCAACAGCAGGAGCTGGACTGTGAGTCTTGCTCCTGTGCCAAGGGAAGTCTGTAGGGAATTAGTCTGCCCTTTTGATGACGCAGAAAAGCAAGACAAGCACCCACCCATCAGTGCTGGAATACAAAGCTAATGTATCATTTTCACCCAGTTCTACTGATGTTTTTCTACAGGACTTTTTTAAGCTTACAACGCCATTGCACTTGGACATTTTTAAAAGACCATGTTTGGACAGCATTCAAAAATAATACCAAACCAGCTCAAGAGATTCCACAAYAAGCAAAAACTAATGCACAGAAGTTCCACCTGAACATGAAGAAGAACTTCTTTCCTGTGCAGGTGACTGTGCATTGGCTGCCCAGAGAGGTTGTGGAGTCTCCCTCACTGGAGATATTCCAGACTGTCTAAACACAATCCTGTGCCATGTGCTCGGGAATAACTCTGCTTGAACAGGCAAGTTGGACCAGATGATCCATTGTGCCCCCTTCTAACCTTGCCCAGCTGTGATTCTGTGTGGACACGTGTGYATTATCTAACACAGCACAGGGCACCTGTGTGATGGAGACAGGTAATGCTGCAGCAATGAGTGTGGCCGCAGAATGGAAATAAAATAAAATATTTTATATTTTATATTTTATAAATAAAACCCCATAGACTGGTGTCTATAGAGCAGGTATTTGTTTATTGCAACGCTGAAGGTGAGGGGGATTTCTCTTAACACACCTGCCTTTGCTTCAAATTAGCACATATTTATACAGTAAGCATGGTGTAACATGAACATTGTCACTGTCCCCCCTGTGCCCACCATACACCCATCACTATACATGGGCATGGAAATACATAATATCATAGTTTTACAAGTGCACATTTGTCATCCTCAATTCAGTGGTCGCGGGGGTCTTCCTCTGATGAGAGACCATCCTCTTCATCACGGTGGACTTTTAACCTTTGTCTTCAGGGCATGCACAGTTGTGATATTCATGGCTTTTTTCTAGTCCTCCAAGAAGTCATCATTTCCAATTATTTTGCTGACTGTCCTGTGCCTCTGCCAAGCTCTCATTAGTACTCTCTACTGTTCCTTGTTTATAGCATCTACCTGTCTACTTTCTTCAGAACTTTTCTGATTTATGCCTCTCGGTGATTTCACTTATCTATATACCAATCCAGCTGGTTAGATTAGGTGCAGATGGTACACTACATGTTGCTAATACACTAAAAAAACTTACAGCAATATATATAAAAAGCTATCATTGATAATATATTGAAAGTGATTACATTGTATTATAATAATGTGTAAAAAGTTATTACATTCTTATATTGATAACATATKAAAAAGGCTATAGAAAGTTTCCAATTAGTAGGCCTCATAAGCACCTTGCCATTTTGATATAGATCATATGTATCAGGTGCTTGGGTGAGCTTGCTGGCTTTTCATCCCAGGCAGAGGAGACTGGAGAGCCCGCTYCCCATGGTGGCTCTGGCCGCAGAGAGAAGTGTGGATTCCCACCACTCTCCCATCTGCCCCCACAAATCACCTCACAGAATCACAGACTGGGTAGACTGGAAGGGACCACAGTAGGGCATCTGGTCCAACTTCCCTGCTCAAGCAGCATTGTAGGGTTACACAATAAAGGGAGTGTTAACAGCCTGCRTGGAAGAAAAATACCACGTCCTTGGCTGTCTCTGAGAAAAAGAAGATTGGAATGTAGAATCGATAACTCAGGTGGCCGAACTGAAAACATTGGCGACACTGCAGCTCTTTGCAAACCCACCAATCATATGCTGATGAGTAGAAAGTGACAGCTTCACTGACCAATATATGTTTGACACAAATGTATACACTTGTTGCAAAATGGATAAAASGGGGCTTACCTTGTAATAAATAAGTTATTAGTTCTCTGTATATGTGTGTGTTTGTGTCTGTTATTTTATGTTGCTGTCTGGCCAACAATGACACAGGGTCATTCCAGAGCACATGGCACAGGATTGTGTCCAGATGGTTCTGGAGTATCTCCAGTGAGGGAGACACAAGTCTCTGGGCAACCTGTCCCAGTGCTCAGTCACCTGCACAGTAAAGAAGTTCTTCCTCATGTTCAGATAGWACYTCTGTGCATCACTTTCTGCCCGTTGTCTCTTGTCCTATTGCTTGGCACCACCGAGAAAAGCCTGGATCCATATTCTTGGAATCCCCTCTTTAGATATTTATACACCTTGATGARGGCCCCTCTCCGCCACCTCTTCTCGAGGCTGAACAGGCCCGGTTCCCTCAGCCCTTCCACCTAAGAGAGATACTCCGGTCACTTAACCATTTTCATTGCCCTCTCCGCTGGACCCGCGCCAGGAGTTCCCTGTCTCTCTTGTACCGAGGAGCCYAGAACTGSACAGAGCGCTGCAGATGTGTCTTTACTAAGGCAGAGCAGAGGGGCAGGATCGCYTCCCTGTCCCTGCTCYTCCTGMCGCGCCTCACGATTCCGCCGCTGCTGCGCGCCCTGGAAGCGGAAACGCCACGAGGCGGCGGTTCCGGGGCGCCGCCGCTGCCTGAGGGCTGTGCGGGAGCAGAGCGAACCAGAGGGGCTCCGCCGCCCCTGCCGCTCCCCGTTCCGCCACCTCCTGCCTGCTCCTCGGCGGAGAGGAGGCCGCCATGCACCCCGTTTTCCAGAGCAGCCAACGCGACTACACCCTCGGGGCGTGGAAGCTGAGCGCCGCCCGGACGCACATCATGAARTCGGCGCAGGCCGAGAGGTGGGGCGGGCTCCGGGCCGGGAGTGGGGGGCACAACACGGGACTGCACCGTGTCCCCGCTGCTCGGGGAGCCCTCGGGGGGCTTCGGCCTCGGCCCTCACAGTGGCGGGCTGGGGGCGTCGGGTGGCCTTACGAAAGAAACAGCGCGTTCCCGGGGCGGGGTAAACGCCATTGGGCCCGGTTACGGGAGGCCCGGGGTTGTGCCCTCGCTTCGAGCTTGATTCTGYGGCTGGAGAAACTGGGGCGATTTGGGTTACAGGTGATTTCCAAAATTTTGTTTTAATGATTGCAGAAGGCAGCCTATGAGGAAGATGAAGAGGCACTTTTTACAAGGGCATCTATTACCAGGAGAAGGGGGTATGGATTTGAACTGTAAGAGAGGAGATGTTGATTGGACCGTATGAAGAAATTCTTTACTGYGMGGGTGGTGAGGCACTGGAACGGGTTGCCCAGAGAAGCTGTAAATGCCCTATTCCTGGAGACGTTCAAGGCCAGGTTGGATGGGATTTTGAGCAACCTGRTCTAGTGGGAGCTGTCCCTRGCCATGGCAMGGGGSTTGGAACCTGACTTTCAAGWTTTCTTCCAACCCAAACCRTTCTATGATTGTATGATTATAATGGTTTTGGAACTSTTGACCGCTGTGGCCTACTAATTAGAGCTCTGATTTTCTTAATTATTTTTTTWAAAGGGTCTTTTAAGTGTCTCATACTATGTCTCAGCAATAGCTATTCTAAGATAGTGGTTTTCATTAAAAATTTAAAATTTTCTCTCTGCTTGCAATTTTCAYTCCGATCAAACCATTGGAGGAAATGTTCCAGTGTCAGCATCAAGTGCTTACTTAAGTCAGATTTGCTAATGTGGAACTGAGCAGTTCTGGTGTGCCAAAACTGACCTAAGTGGCAGATGAATTTGGCAGATATTTCTTGGTTTCATTTTCAATATGAAAAATTTCATATTGAAATAAATTTCAATATACATGGGAATATCATTAGTCTTGTTCAAGGTATTTTCATTTGTCTTGTCTCCCCAAGTCAGGTGGGATTATTGATTTGCTGGAGGGTAGGAAAGCTCAGGAGAGGGATCTGGACAGGCTGGATCAATGGGCTGAAGGCAACTATAGGAGGTGCAATGAGGTCACAGTGACCTATTTTGTCTTTTTTATTGCTTAGGGAACATTACTAGTATCTATAGGAATTTTATKTCTGGCGAAATATATTGCAAAAATTCCTCAGCAACTTGTGTGGAAAGGTGAAGGATTAAATGTGTCATAGTCAAGAACTTTTTTCTGTGTGAGAGTTGGTTTTTGCAGGTCAGGGCTTCCTACACTGCRATGAAATGGAAAAATTCATAATGTTCTTCTGCTTTCTCTGGAAAAATGTAGGATCTTATACTCCAGATCTATTAATTTGCTATTTTTATTTTAGTTAGGTTAGCATGCTTTTTTTTTGTAGGCAGCTTTACAGAAATAACTACTTTTGTTCAGGAATGCCTTATTATCGAAGTGAACATTGTGATTAGAACTCTCTTCTCCCTCCCCTCCTTCAAATTAGTCTTAAAGGTCTTAAAGCTTGCTTCTCTCCAGATGTCATGTATTCCTTTTTGATGTTGGTAAGTCAAGAAGGTAGAGAGGAAGAGAAGTATAGGAAGCCTKTTGGTAATGAAGGTCAGAGGATATATCAAGTGTTGGGGTTTGTGTCTATTTATATGTAGTGTATATATATATATAAAACTATAAGTGTACAGACTGATGTAAAACAAAATGTGAAATAGGATGCTTTGAGATCTTCTGCAGGGATAGTGCCTATTTGGTTAATGCAGTACCTTGTTCATTTGGGYCTGTGGCTTTGGCTGTGGCTTTCCTGCTTAAAGTTATAATTACCAGTATGTGTCTTCTACCAGCTTGAAAACGTAGTAGAGCACAGTAGTGTCTTCTGCACTGCCAGACTTGTTTTAAGCATTTTTGGTAGGCTTCTAAATTTGGAGGTATGGATCACTATGCAGTGAATTTAAACTGGCTGATGATGAGTCCTTTTTCCTAAACGTTTCTTTGGGCACCTACCAGAGTTGGTCTATTGACCATCCAGGGATTTGCTAGCACAGGTTGAAAAACTGCTTCTGCATGCTTCTTAGATTTTTTTTTTGATTCCTTGTGTGAGACTTTTGTATGTGCCTGATGGAGAAGGAATACTTTTGTGGTGGAAAACTCACTTCAGATCAGTGACTCTGCATTTCAGGTCAAATGATTCACCTGAGAAAACAACAAAATCTTTCAGAAAATATTGATGATGTGTCTTCTAAATTATCATGGTCTAAAGAATACTTATTCCAAAACAAGGACTGCTTTCATTGAACTATAGCTGACTGATGTTTCTTTTATTTTTCTCTGCAGGTTGGCTGATGAATTACACATGCCTTCCCTGCCAGAGATGATGTTTGGAGACAATGTCCTAAGAATACAGCATGACCATGGTTTTGGAATTGAGTTCAATGCTACAGATGCTTTAAAATGTGTCAATAATTGTCAAGGTATGCTCAAAGTCGCTTGTGCAGAGGAGTGGCAAGAGAGCAGGTACAGTATTTTATCACCAGTGGGCAAGTACTGGGCTGTTGTKTATGAAACTGTCATAGAGTAGTTAAAGGAACAAATTGAACTCCTGAAGACCGTGTTGCATTTGGTTCTAYCCTAGATACAGTGTGTGATCACAGAAATCACTTCGCTTTTCTTTGCTGTCATCATCCTTTCTGTTAAATTTGGTCAGCTGTGTTATTCAGTTGTCTTGGCTTTCTTAAAGTGAGCTTCAAGTTTAACATGGCTTAATGCTGTTTCTGTWMATTCAAACTCTTAGAGCCTYGAGCATTACAAGATTGAATTGTGTGGTRTTGCAAAGTGCTGTACATGTTCAAAATCCTAGCCTTAGGAATAAAGCAAAACAATTACCGTGCCTAAGAACTAATTATAATGCTTAGCATTTATCAAATTAGATTAGTTGTAGAGTGTCTGGAAATAAAACACAGAAAGTAAGTTGACATAAAAACGAAGGCAAATTGCAGTGTTAATAATTTCTATGTGTTGTCAACAGATTGCTTTCTGCATGCTTGAAGAAAAATTGATCTTGAAATACTAATTTTTCAGCAATATGGAATGAAAGTTATTTTGAGTCATAGAACTGAGATAGTGTGAGATTGAGAATTTTCATAATTGTTTTCAAAATTATTATGGAAACAGATGTTGTGAAACCATGATTAAGTTTTGACATTGTAATTGCAGCACAGAGTGCTGCTGCTTCTCTGTAAGAGCAGTGAGARTTATAATGCACAGTCTTATGTGAGGTTGTAATTTTTTAAGAGCTACTCCAAAGCAATTACTGCAAAGCTGTTTCCTCTTTCACTTTTTGAGGAGTGAGACTGAGCACACTAAGGAAGTTGTCAAGCCATATGACTGGACTTACACAACAGACTACAAAGGAACTTTGCTGGGAGATACTGAAACATTAAAGGTAAYGACTTTCTGCTTGTTAATTGCTGACTGCATGTTGTTTCAGTCAAACTTTTTTTTTAAAAGCTGTCATTGACCTTTCAGTAGGCTTCTGTAAAATCTTYTATGCTTCCTAATTTCTGATTTCAAACTGTAGTTTGAGCTTCTCATGTCTCTCAGCATTTTGTCTTAATMAAATCATGGCTTATTTTAATTAGAGGGTAGGCAGTGTCTTAAAGCATTTTAGGATTAAAGGACATGGGAGTCTTCAGCTCTTGCTGGGGGCCCTTCTGGAGCCCTGAGCTCCTCAYTTGCAGCAGAACTATCAGCCGTGTCATTCTGTAGTACCTTCCTGCTCTGCTGCTTGCTTGTTTGTCTAAGCAGATACATAGATCTTCCTGCTTTCAATGGCCTTATGCTTTTCTGCCACAGTAACTCACTAACTTCTGATATTTCAACTCACAGGCCCTCCCATATCTTTCTTTACATGAAAATAAGACTGAAGTTCTTAGCTTCTTTACTGCAAACAGTGTTTGAAGTTCTTAGCTTCTTTACTGCAAACAGTGTTTGAAGTTCTTAGCTTCTTTACTGCAGTATTTGCTACTAAGCAGATAATCTATATTAATTCACTAGAATTGATTTAGTTAGAGATCATTTGAGTTATTCGGAAATTAAAAGTACATAATAGAAATAAAGTGTTKGGATGTAGTGGGCTAGAGATACTAAATGCATGGAAATCTGTTTATAAACCTGAACTTCTCATACATMTGTCAAACATGAGGCATCTTGAAATGTTTTGAAAGAAGCATTTGAARGAACATAAGCAGAATTGTTTGGAGCTAAAACCATACTGAGCCTGTTCCCAGAGAGAATTTTATTCAGAATTTTCCACTCTTACTTTTTGCTCTTGCTTGATGTTTATTTCCAGGAAGAAACTCTTGGGAACTATGCTTTTAACTTCTTCTCTTAGAAATTTGGGGTCTCTTAAGCTTAGTGCTCTAAAAGATTTTTCCCCTTCTAAAACTGTGGAATTCAAAAAGTCAGGGCAAACTATGTAGTTTGGCAACAAATTAATATGCTAACTGTTCTTAATATTTTTTTCTCTAGGTTGTTCCTACAACAGAACACATAAATACAGAGAAATTGAAAGCCAGGGAACAAATTATGTTTTTTGAAGAAGTACTYCTGTTTGAAGATGAACTCCATGATCATGGAGTATCAAGTCTGAGTGTGAAAGTAGTGAGTACTGGGAGGTGTATAAAATATACTTGGGAACTCAACTGGCTGATAAAGGCAAAACACAACTGYTTTTTGCATGTTGTTCCTTCTGGGATTTAAACTTTAAAACACGAAGTTCTTCATCTTTGCTCTTAGAAATATGATTGATCTTACTGGAAAGTGTTGTCTTGAAACCTTTGTCATCTGTCATTTGCTTCAGGGGACAATCTTTCCCTCCTGCATCCTGCCTAATAGTCCTTTGAGACACTGTGCCCTGCTGTCCAGCCATAGCTGGAGAAAATCAACAGCCCAAATTCTGACTTCATTCTTGAAAATTTCTCATATTGTCTTCCATAGTGAATATGTGATGTAGACAAGTACATGTTTAAGTAAACCTTTATCGTGTGCTGAATGAACTATCTATTTTTGCAGAGAGTTATGCCTTCCAGTTTTTTTGTRCTGCTGAGGTTTTTCTTGCGGGTTGATGGGGTACTCATCAGAATGAATGATACAAGACTTTATCATGAGGTAAACCCTTACTTTCCATGATTATTTTACAGAGGTTCCCTTGGCATTTTACTTTCAGTGACCTGATATTCCTTTAATTTMATACTGATATTTGGGGACATAAGGACTTCCAAGTGTCTTTTATTATTGTGGTGGTGCTGAATTAGAGACCAAGTGCTGGATGTCATTGTGTATGAACAGAGTAGGCTACCCTCATGTCATGTAATCATTTAAATACATTTGACAGACATAGATTAGATAAGGAAATAGAAGAAGAAAAATAGGCAGCAGTAAGTAAAAAATAGGCAGCTGTCTTGTCTCCAAGTAAATTATTTTTGTCTTATCTAATATAAGTTAGACTGCAAGTGTAATTTGCAAATAACTGTCCATAGTATATTGAGTTCTGGTATCTCATGAATAATACAGGATGTTAAGATTTGTGGTTTGGTAATCCTGTGTAGATGTGTAGGAGTTCTAGCTGAGTAAAGATTAACAAGCATATTCGTAAATTTTTTTTTTTTATGCATGCACACAGAAAGGTGGGTTTTGGAAAAAAAGAACACTTAYTGTCTTTCTCTGTCTGCATGAGTTTGAATCTGTTTTTCTACTCCTAGATGGAATTATGTGGACAACCAAATTCCAATGCTTTATAAACTCATGTATTTAAAATGCTTAGTTTTCAAATGCTTTTTAAAATGCTTAGTGATAGYAGATGATAATTTTTTCCATTAGGTTGACAAGACCTACATGTTGCGAGAATACACATCCAGAGAAAGCAAAATATCAAGTTTAACGGTATTGTATTTTTTAAACTTCCTTTCTTTTTCTTCTGTCTACGTTTTTGTTTCATGATCAGCATAGAAAATACCATGTCTGAAAGTCATTCTTTGTAAGGTTTGGAATTGATACAGAGGAAAAWTCTTTCTGCTCATGCAGCATTTGTTTTGGTGGTTTTAGGGCAGATTTGCATTTTGTAAGTGCACAGATTACAGACGATGTAATATGAGGTTGGGTCACTTTTTCTATTTTTGAATTAATAAAATGTTTTTATTATTTTATTTTTTCATAGAATTGTTCAGCCACAAAATCAGGTACTTTATGTCCATCATRTTAAATTTCATGGCTGGTTGTGTGCTTCCAAGCAGCTTTACGGGTTAAGATCTGTTTGGGAATGAACTCTTTCAGTTTTTCTCAAATATTTGAGGTTAATAGGTTGCCTTAAAACTTTAGTAATGGCTCAGAATAATTAGTGGCACATTTGGAGTTGCAGCTGTAGATTTTTATTCTTGACCCAAAACATGAACTTTCATTTTACTTTACCTTTTCTTCTCCTTTATTTTTCCTTTGCCTCTAAAAAGTGCCTACTRTGTTACTGACATTCCAAAGGAATACTTATTTTCTTATGAGGAAAGGGACATTTCTTAATGATACGTGATCCCTGTAAACAAAACTAAATCCAGACGTGAGTTTTTTGATAGTTTTGTAATTTTTGAAATACAAATCAATGATCTAGGTTTTACTTMACCTTATGTTGAAAAATTATCATCTATGCTGTTAGATCATTTTTCCTTCTGTTGTTAATAGAGTGGAAAATGCACATGGCTTTCAGCTTACATAGGTAAAGCAAAAAAGATCCCTGCTTCACTGAGGTTTGAAATAATTAAAACAGTGGGATGGTTCCTTACATCGTGTAGGGGTAGCCAGAATAGAGRTTGCATTTGAATAGCTCTGGATGTGCTTAAAGAATACTGTTAGAAATTTGAAAGTTATTTACTCAGTATAGGTTTTTTTCCCATCAAATGCCTTGCATATGGGGAAGAAGTCTGCATTTTCCTTCCTCCAGAGGAAGATACTAACTTAATGAAACCACCTGATTTCTTAAAATAYGAAATTAAAATCCATTGAGTTTTAGTATTTTGTGTAAATGTCTGTGGTTGACTTTRTAGAAACTAAGATCAATACTGAGATTGAGCAATTAATAATTGATCAGCCTGAGCAATGCCAGTGAATATATTGCAATGGCTAAAAGAGATGGAATCCTTTGTGGGCATCCTAGTCTCMTCTAGAGCTAGAACCTTAAAAAGACTGCTTCATTCACATTTTAAATATATTTTTAAAAAACATTGTAGGTGTTTATGGGTATCACCGACTTTCTTGCACTTTTATAATTTACTGCTTAAAAATGTTAAATACCTTTCCTTAGCCTGTTGATCCACATAAGGGSTAAGACTGTTCATTTGAAGTTATAAGGTAAATTTTAATAATCATATCTGAATCCARGTGTTTACATCCAGTAAATTATAGATTAATTGTCTATAAAGTTTGGGTTTGGAATATTTTTTTTTATTCCCTCTTTTCTTTCACTTGTTTCATGCAAAATTTTTGCTTTTTAGAATGTTCCGCCTTCCCTGTTCACGGAACCTAACGAAATCTCTCAGTATTTGCCTATAAAGGAGACAATCTGTGAAAAACTAGAATACCCAGAGAAGCTGGAGCCTCAGCCAGAAGCATCACTGGAAACCACATGTGCTAAGTCTAAATAAATGTGACTTTATATGGACTTGAAGTCGATTGGAGATAATGTGATCACATAATTGTTGTCATGCGGGGCATTTCACTATTAGTGGAATGAAGAATTTGGCTAATTTTTCTGTAGCCTTGAGAGAAAACATTTCAAGCAGGTTTTGCTAATGGTTTTTTGTTTGGATTTTTTTAACCTGTATCTGGAGTTGATGATAGACTGGTGGGGAGTTGCAATTTTCAACAGCATTGTAGAAATGGCTATTGGGAGTCTGGGTTCTGTTTAGTTCACCAAGCAGGCAGGAGGATTGTCTGGACCCCCCTCCACTAACACTTCTATGAAGATTTTTTTATTGCTGCTTCAGATACTAAGAAACTACCAGAGTTGTAGAGCTGGAATGATTTTATTTTTATTGAGAAATAATCCACTGTAAAAAAAAAAAAAAGTAATAATGCTTCTGCATTTATTTTGATCTKTCAGTCCTAAACTACCTATTTTACTTGGCTTTCCCTACTGTAAGCTGATAACCAAGTTACTTTTTGTGGTCTCTGATCCAGAGTCTCACCTAAGAGTATTCATTTCATCTGTGGATAGGTTTAAGTGTAGGGAAAAGAATGCATTTGTTTGATACTATAAAGGTAAAGTTATTTGTGAGGCATTAACTCCAGAGCAGGAGAAAAGCTGGAGGTTAACAGAGACACCAGTAAGTCTCTTCACAAWTGCTGTTTTAATCTGATGTCCACGGGTTCTCTGGGGAGTTCTGGGACTCACTTGGGGTCCCTGTGCTGCTCCAGGCATGTATGATGCTGGAAGGGCATTGCCCTGCACTGGCTTTCTCTGGGATGTGCCCACACATGATGGTTCTACTGCCCTGACAGCCCAATTGCCAAACTGCAGTGGGGCTTAAGGCTGGGGAAGGCCTTTAGGGRTCTTGAGTTTCTGATCCCTAAAGGATGCTGGTGTTGAGAAATCAAATCCTGTRTGGCCTTAAAAGGATGCTAACATGTATTCCAGATACATAATTCTGGTTTCTTTTAAGTTCTGATATTAATAGAAGTGTGACCACTTACATAGTCATGGATTCAACACTGTAGATTAAACATAAATAGCTGTATTACTTTTGGAAATCTTACAATATATTAATGGTTTGGCCTAAGAATGGGGGCAGCTAAGCAGGGTTGTCTGGGTTTACTGCTGACACTCAGTGCAGGAAGAGAATAACTGTAGTGAAAAGCAGGTCTGGTGGTTTAAGGTGCTTGCAGATGAGAACATGTACACATTCTGATGTCTTGTGGGTTTTTGTTTAAAAATCCTCATATGCTACATTGCATGGCTTACTAGAARCAACCCACCACAAAACCTAGTATTTAACCAGATCTTTTGTGGTTTTCATGTAGAGAAGATCCTGAGTTTTTTAGGGGGGAAAAATGTCTACTGCCATCTAAGTGACTGTATTCTTAGTGAAAACAAATAACACATTTATGTCACTTTTATTTGAGGCAGCCTGGTYTAGTGAATTCAACATCAGGTGGAAAGGTGGGAACTAACTGCAATTTTTCCTGTGTCACTGATTTACTCTAACCATGGGAAGGACAGTTCTCTGTGCCTCCATTCCCTGTATGTAAAAATGAGAGTTAATATAGGCCTACCTCACAGAAGGGCTGTGAGGATTAGTTTGTATAAAGTTATTGATTACAATTTTTTTTTTCAATACACCTTCAGCCTTACCTTTGAAAAGGATTACTGCCAAAAAATCTTATGATCCATAGGATGAGTGAAGAGTACTGAAATGAAACAATTTCTGAAAGAGGTTATCAGCAGTGATAACTATCAGATAATTATTAGACAAGATTTGGGTGAATTATTAGACAAGATTTGGGTGAATTTATGGCCACTTGGAAATAGAAGTGAGGTCCTCTATATTCCTCAATACAGTCCTAAATTCTGCTGGCTTTTTTCCATCTTCCTGCACTTCTTTCCTAAAGATTTTAGTGTCAGGATGAAGRAGGGGACTGCAAATGAATGCAGCATGGAAAAGATTAAAATTCCTTTGGTAATAAAAGATTATTTGTGTCCACTCCAGTGATAGACGGAAATGTGTAAAGAGTGAAAAGGAAGGGAACAACAAATGGGGGTGAAGAGATATTTTTCTGGTAGAAGTAAATCATGGCACTTCTTTTACTCCATCATATGTTAGTTTACATTTCTTAAAGCTTATAAAAGCCCCACTTTAAAGCTGGTATGACTGAGAGGAAAGCTCGTGTAGTGCTGGCATGAAGGAAACTATATCTGCATTTGTTAATTCAAACTGTGATTTGGGCTTGGTCAGTGATGCTAACATTAAACTCCTTTGGGCTGAAATAGAGTGTGGGGAAAACCCACAGAGCGAAGGGAGAGCAGTGGAAAGGGCACTCTGCATGTTTAGCTTGTACTGTGTATTTTCTCTTGTCCATCACACATTCTAATCTGTGACCTGTTGGTAAAGTTTTATAGAATGGACTTGTATCCTGACTCTATGTGCTACCCATCTATTATAAGGGTGCTGTGCATTTCAGTGGAACACACGTGTTGGGGAAATCACAAGAACACATTTAGGAATTTACAGTTACAACAAGTTCAGAACTGGAGCACTTTGTGATTTACACCGGGCAGATTACCAAGAAGCAGCAGTGTAAACTGGCATACTGCAAGCTCTGGCACAAAATTTCCACAGAAAAGTACCACTTCCAATATATAGCTTTAGGGGAGGGAGTGGGGTGATTCTCCAGCTGTTTTGTGACGACTTTAATGTGGCAGTTTATATTGTTCCTTGTATGTTGCTAAATAAAATGTACCAAACATTTTATAGTTCTGTTTTTAACCCTGCCAAATAAACTGAAATAACTATTTGTGATGCTGAATTTAGCATTGCATCCACATGCCTTTGGGGTCRTTATGAAAATAAAGTGAGCGGGAGAAGAGCCACAATTGTGGGAGGAAAATTAAACCTRTATGACTATAAAATGGGTTTTGCTATTGCCAAGTAATGGGTTCGTAAGTGCTGGGAGTAGATAGGTTCCATTCACATCCGGACTACATCCCCCGGCAGCCTGCGCGCCGCCCCGCCGGCCTTCCCCCACCTGCGGCACGCAGGTGGGCGCGGTGCCTGCTGGGGCTGGTAGTCCCTGGGGAGGGAAGGGAGGGGAAGGGAAGGGAAGGGAAGGGAAGAGCGGGGAAGGGCAGGGCATTCCGGCCGGCCGGGCGGGCGGGGTGCGGGAGCCATGGACAAGCTGAAGCGGGTGCTGAGCGGCCGCGACGCGGAGGAGCCGAGCGGCCTGGCCGAGGTACGGCTCCGCTGCCGCTCCCGCCTGGCTCCCGGGCGGGGGGACCCGGCCGCCCCCTCCCCAGTGTTCGGCGGAGCAGCCAGCGGGGAGAAGTCGCCGGTGCCGTGGGCGGGCGATCCCGCAGGGGCTCCGCCAGCGCTTCCCCCGCGGGTCCCGGTGCCGCGGACACACAGAGGGTGCCTGGACAGACACGGCGCAGCGGCTGAGAGGAAGTTTTCACGCTTGGTGGGAGGTAAGAGCTACAAGTAAACAAGTTTCACTTTTGTTTCTCCCCTCGTTTCCAGGTTATCGATGCGACTTCCTTAAGTTGGAGCACCCGAGTGAAAGGCTTCGTCGCGTGTTTTGCAATTGGGTGCCTGTGCTCGATCTTGGTAAGGACTTTTTGCCAGAKCTCTCCAATATTTGAGTTTCGGGAGCCCAGATAATTACAGCCTTGCTCTGCTGCTCCTTGATTTTTCCGAGTCTCTGTGGAGATGTCTGACTCTTAACAGGAATGGAAATAAATTCAATTTACTTTTGTGTGTGTGTGATTTCTGCAGTTTGGCTTTCAGTTTTCCTAAGATTTCTTTTGTGATGTGACACTTCTTGGATAAATATATTTGTTTCCATATAAACCTGTTAATTTTCCCCTCTCTCTCTAAATGTTCCCTTTTAGGGTAGTTGTCTGCTATGGATACCAAAGAAAGGGCTGGTACTCTTTGCAGTGTTTTATACTCTGGGGAATATTGCATCTATTGGGAGGTAACAATCTTTTATTGTATATTATTTCCCTGATAAATATGAGAAACAAAAGCAGAATGATGGTGCATAAGCAATAGAATCTGTTGCATTGGCCAGAGGAGATATGCTTTCGCAGAAAATTTTCTTGTAGACTTTTGCAGAACTGCATTTCCCCAGTAGTGCCCTGAAATGGTAAAGAAAATTTTAATTTTGTATGTTGTTATTAGTAGTGCATTCAAGGTAAAAGTTGCTCACCAGTAAACAGGAATCAAACTCATGCTTTCAGCATTGAGGTGTTTTGATTTTGCTGGTTGCTTCTCCCCTAGATAAAAATAGTTCTTCACCATTTTGCATTGCAAGTGTTCTGTATGTATTGGTGAATATATTTGGGGCAGTCTGTCTGTCAGGGCAAGCATGTGTGGTGAAACTTCTTGGCACAGAGGTTCCTGAATTACAGCCCCACAGACTTTGTGACAGCCCCAACTATCTGTGATCGTGGAAACTTAGCATGATGCAAGAAAGCATRAATAATGGAAATGGAAGTAATATACTAATGAGGCAGAATAATGTAATACATGGGGCAGAAATATCACTTTAGATAAAACTTTCATTTTGTATAATTCATCCAGTRTCCATCACCACGGCTCTAAATAAGGGCTGCAGAGCTGGTAAGGGATCAGAAAATGGATCCAGGCTTGGAAACAGCCCTTTATGTAGAGGAATTGAGTTGGATTACCTGGCAATCCATGCAGAGCCTCTGTGGATGGTGTTCTTGAAAAGCAGATTTTAAAAGCATATTTAAAAAGCAAGTTAAAAAAAACATCTGTCAAGGATGAGCTGATTGGAGCTGACCTTGACCTGTGCTTCTAACTTGTTAGTTCTGCTCTGCTTATGTTGATTTTAACTGAACAAATGTGAATAAAATTATAATTACCTTGCACAAAGAAAAGGGGGAATGGATTTTGTCTCGTTGTATATCCTGTTTCCTTTGTTATGCACCACTGATTGCTGTGTACTGATGCCCCTATGGCAGCAGACAATTTACTCTYACCCAGTTTTGCTTTTGCCTTTCTCATTTCCCTGGTATCTTGACTTGTTTTTCACAGCACTATGTTTCTTATGGGACCAATGAAACAATTGAAGAAGATGTTTGAGCCTACACGTTTGATTGCTACTATTGTTATGCTAGTAAGTATCCAAGGAGTCAGTTTTAACTCCTACAAAGCTCGGAACAATTTTAATTTTGAAGTCCTTTCATATCCATTGATCCAGCTATGTCGCAGGATGTGTTCAGATGTGGTTTTTTAGTCTGTGTTTTTTCTTCTTTTGTTAAAATATCAAACACTGTGCATCTGCTGTGGTGGAAGGGTAAGTGGAGCACCAGAAAAGCAGCTCAGTGTTAGGCAAGGCTGAGCTGAAGCCTGGTTGTTTTTCTGAACGAGCAATAAGGGCCTGTGGCTGGTGTGTGTGAACCGTGCACGTGGTTATTTAGGGTGCTTGAGGTCACAACATCATATTTACATATGCCTAAGAAACATCATACTTACATATTGACTTGTTTTTTTTTAAAGTTGCCCTATGGATGTTGCTAAATATTTTATTTTGCATAATTGTGTCTTTTTATATTCTATCTGATTGCCTTGAAAGAGCTGTGTAGCTATTTCTACCTTGACAAAATCATCTCTTTGTGACAAAGCACCTGGGGGAAACTCTGTGCCTTGATCACCTTGCATTAGGGATCATCCCACCTGGCTGATAGCTTCAGGTTTTGAAACTTGTATGACAGAATGAAACTGCAAATTCAACATTCAGTGGAGTCACTCTCAGAGTTATGTTTTTTTCAGAAGATGGAAATTCTAGCAAACCTTGTGTTGTGTGCATCTCTGTATCTGAAAATTGTTGCCAGGTTTCAGAGTGACTCTTCTTTAAAGTACACAGGTTTTTTTGTCTCTGCAACTTTCCTATTTTCTCTTGGCAAGTCAAATATCTGACAGGTGGTTTAGCTTGCATGAAACTTCCATTTTCAGTCTGAATGTTTTCAGAGTGTTTGCTTGGATCAGCATTTCTCAATCTAGAGATGGTGCAGAGCTTGAGAAATTGATTATCTGTGCTTGCAGATCCAATCAAGAAGCTACTGCCTGGTGTTTGTGTTTTGTATGCATTTAGGATGCTGGAGTCAGGAGAATTCCTGCAATTTTGTTCACTGGGATAAAGCCAGTCTTTAGATGTATGATGCAATATTTAGGCCAAAATACAAATCACCACCTTGAAACTAATGGAAGAACTGCATTTATTGTTAGTACTCCTGGGTTAGGTCAAGTATATAATTTCTTTGGCAGTGCATGTCTTAGTGCCTAAATATACAGAGCTATATTGTTTTTATATCTTTTTTTCCATTCTAGCAGAAAAACACATGTTATAATTTCTAGTAGCACAATAGTACATGTGTATCTAAAGGCTATTACATGTTCATGAAGGAATGTGAATTAATCAGCATCTATCATGGATAAATGAGCTATTATGTCTTAAATTCAAAATGAAAACTAATAGGAGGCTTCTGTCTGTTAAAACTGAGGGCTAAAGCAGAAAATAATCCAAAATGTCCTTCTACTCCCCAAGATTTTACCTGTAGCAAAGAAAGACACAGTTCAACTCCAAAACAGAARAAGTGCTGTTTTGAATGACTGTGCYTTACTTAAATATATACMCAGGTGAGCTAGTAAGCAATAGCCCAGAGTTCTTGAATGTGTATCATAGTTTTAATTGCTGAGCTTCTAACCCCATGGTAACCATGTAATCATCAGGAAATGTGCGGAAGCAGAAAGACTAAGAGTGGTAACTGAAAAGTACTTGAAAAGTCTTATGTAAAATGATGAAATGTGGTGTGTGTCTGTGACACCAAGAAGTGTGTGGGATAGAGTAGAGACTTGCAGAAGAGCTACAGGAACCTCTTCCTCTTGCTCCTTTGCAGCCATGAAATTATTTTCTGGAGATAGCAGGCTGATATTTCCTGATTGCTTTTATTCACTTCAGAAATGTAATAGTGAGAGCATTTTAAATACAAGGAACTTTTAAATACRAAGAATTCTTATAATGCAGGATTGAATAAAACTGTGAATAGATGTAATTAATTTCTGTTTCTGTGAAGGAACTCATTATATTGTTGCAATATCTATAGAAACTGGAGTTGTTTCTATTTTTAATTAAAATAATTTGTTTTCTTCTAGTTGTGCCTCATACTAACACTGTGTTCTGCTTTCTGGGTGAGTACTGGAGTTCTGTATGTATGTGTAACTGGAGTGAATATAACTTTGATAATATAATTAAAATGTAAATAAAATTTTAATATACTATTTTAAAGTATTTTAAAAGTAAGAATCTTACACTGCTGTCTCTGTTGTGTTTCTTTCCCCGCACCTCTCTCTCCCCTCCAGTGGCGTAAGGCAGGACTCGCGCTGCTTTTCTGCATCCTACAGTTTTTTGCCATGGCTTGGTGAGTGATTTCCTCTACACACACTCCACTTCCTGTTGCACCTGACATCAGTAGCTGAGTTGTGAGTGGAATTGTGTGAGTCAGAGGGAAGGAAAATTTGTACTTTGTCAATCTGTTAGACTTGAGACAGTCAGTGAGGAGCTGACCTGTTCCCACTTCTTGGTTGCTCACACCATTACAGAGGCTTTGGAGATGGAGCTCAGGGCTCTATTTCTGGAGGAATTTCCTTTGAACATGTTGGATTTCTCTAAGCTTGAACTAATATTTTGCTTTCCCTATCAAATCAATTTGTTGCCTACATCTGGTATTCCTCTTTTACACTCTGCCAAATTTGTCTTGTTCAGRGACCCAGTTATGCCAATCAAATTGTCAATGCTGTTCATGTTAACATATGGTCTGTGCAAGGTCCCTAAAGGAGTGCACAAACTGATATGGACACCTAGAAGCCCTCGCAACTACTCTTTCCTACTTGTAGGTGTAGGAGCATGAAGAATACTGGATGTAGGAGAGCTGTGTTTATGATACTTTCACAACATCCCCCTCTATTTTATCAGTGTTTCATACCCTGGCTCGGCTAAGATGTCTTGCAAGGATACTCCTTCCTGTTACTCACAAACTCAGAGCTTCATTTTGGTTGTGTATCTTTTTTGTCACTAAAAAATTCTGACATGAAAAGTAACTTTCAAAATTTTTCTTCTTAGGTACAGCATTTCCTTTATACCATATGCAAGGTAAGCTTCCCTACTCCCTTACTCTTTATSATTTTGAGGTTTAATCATACAGAAGATTAGTTTAGAGAACTAAACTAATGAAGTATTAGTASTAGGCTCAACAAACTTGTGGCTTTGGAAGCTTTTTCATGGTGTGGGAAATATACATAGTTAAATCTGWAAATAAGCATCTTCTCTAGTGGGTGCTACAAATAGAAAAAATGAGAGGGCTTCCCATAGAAATATGTAAGTCTGCTGACCACATGCAGAACRTAAGGTTTGCCTTTGGAATGCCTAAATGTTGGTCCAAAATGCTGCTAGACAAATGTATTCTTCTGTTTCTCTTTTGTCCTGTTCTCTCCCGTGGGCACTATTCTGTGTGAGCACACAGTTCTCTCTCCTGCCCCATCACCCCACCCTTCTCCTGTGCACTKCCTCCATGCAGCCTTGCAGCTGTCATTCCACAGCAGGTGGGCACTGAGCAGTTTGTCTCTGGGACATCTGTGTAGTCATGCAAATCATAGCAATGCAATTAATGCACAATCAGCTGATTCCTGCAGTCCTGTGTCAGTGTGACAGCAGCATGACAGAGCATGGAATGACTCTTATTGAATAACGTAACTGAGGTGACTCTCTTGTGTTTTTTTCTTTCTCCTGTCTCTAGGGATGCTGTGAAGAAATGTGTGTCAGTCTGTTTGACCTAACAATACTGGATGCCTCACAAATTTCCAGGAAGTTCTAGGTAGAGCTGTGCTGAGATCACCGTGTTCTGTCGTTTCCTACTTCTGTCTTAAACACGTGCCTTTCAGCTGCTTGTTAGAAGCTCCTTGTGTTCCATCCGGAGTCTGCAGTGGCTTGGGTTTGTAAGCAATGGTGTCTGTGGGACAGGGTGATTAGGATGAAATGAAATCTCTCTGGCAGAACTGGGCAGAGATCCACAATTTGTGATGATAATTCTTGCATAAATTCATGCATTTGGTTTTATAAAAGTTTCAAAGTAATACGTGAAGTCTGTAAAATKAAGACCTTGGCTCTGAGGGGACTGTGCCAGTTCTAGAGTTGCAAATTGATTTCTTACCAACAACTTGGATTTTTTTAAATAGCCTTATATCACTTAATCTTTGCACTGTTTGCCTTGGATAATGGAATATTGGTATTCTTTCTTTTCTTGTCTCTCTTGCAATTTTTTAAGTTTATGAGACTTCTCAAAGATGTAATTCTAAAGTCAATCACTGTTTTGGACTAACTATAAAATGTTTGCATCTTTAATGAAGTATTTAATTTTCAGTATACTGATAGTGTTTCSTTAAAATACATGAAAGGGACATTTTCATCTGTTCCTGCAGGAAAAGTACTCTAAAATAAGGTTAATTTATGTTTTCAGCTGCTGGGAACCTGAGTTCTTTTCCTTGATTACAGCTTATGGTTACAGAGTAGGAATCTGACATATTTCACATGAAGTGAGGTGCTTCTCTTCTCCTCCAGCTGTAACATAAGAGCAATGCAAAGGACATGGTAGGCAAGCAATAAGGGAATTAATGTATRTCCTTTCTCAAGGGACAAACTGTCATGAGGTGGAAGTGGCCTCTTGTTTTTAAGTAGTCTGAGTTGGGGAGAAGACATTTTCTTCTGAACTTGTAAATAAGTTAAAACCCCAACATTCCTTTTCATTTTTTTGTAAGTGGAATCAGTTCTGTTTCTGCTAAAACTCTTGCACACACTAGTGAGCCTTCTGTCCATGGAGGAGAAAGCACAATATTCTGTTGCCTGTCGTAGCAAGGGAAGCGTGTAACAATCCCCCTGCCAGCTCAGAGCAAGTGCTGAGCTGTCAGTATCCAAATTCCAAGGCCACTCTGTGTTTTCTTTATCTTCTGAGCTACAYAGAATCATTTACTCCCACAGCATTGCAGTGGTCAATTTAATCTCTGAGCACAGCTTCCTGCTTCTGCTGTGTGAGATACTGTTTAACTGCTTTCCCTTTCCTTTTGCCCAACTTTCTTGCTGGAGTCAGTGTTTAAGATGATGATTATCCAGTGCAGTCCAGAAGGAATTGAAGTCTCTCTTCCTCAGTCTACCAAGAGTTTAGTTGTTGAAGAGCATTGTGTTTCCATAGCAAGTGTATCTTTGACTTGTACCACAAAGATTTTAATGTAGGTAAAACCTAGAACTACTTGGCAATAAAACACAAGCACACAGTGAAGGCAAATAGTTCTACAGCTTCCAGAAAGTTATTAAGAAATCGTTTAATCCAAAATCTTAAGTGTCCTTCTGATAATTCGTAAAGCACAGTACCATCTAGCTGCTAGGGTCCTCTTAAAAATATGTTCAAGATTCCCTTTTGCCCATGGTGTGAAAGACAGATTTTGACAAGCATTCTGTGGATTCCAGGTGGCCAGAATTACTGCTGCAAAAGCATTTGAATGGAAAATGCCACCTTGGAAACATGACATTGATGTAGGGATAAGTCAATTATACATGTTCAAGTGCTATGTCCTGGTGCTTTTATAATCCCCCTGGATTTAGAAGGTTCTGTTGAAATAAGTGTGGTGACTGTTACTTTCCTTGAAAAGAATTGCATAAATGCCCAAGAGAGACTGGGAAATAAGGAAAACTGGTACTTTTTTCCCCTGGCTGATCTAAGACAAGTGTCTACACTGATGTGTGTCTTTTTTATCAGGGAGTAAGTTCAAAATCTAATTTACATCTGTCAAGGAAGCTATTGCTAGTCTTTTCTTAGGACTTTGATAATGTTTACAGAATTCCTTTGTATAAGGGAAATTGAAATGCAACCCTAATGCCTTTTACATTCCAATATTACTTTGATCTTARTGTTGCTGAATGTCCCTGGGGAAAACTGCACGTACAGTATACATTGTTTCTCCTTCCCCTCTCCAGCAAAGTTATGTTAACTTCGATCATCATTCCAGGTTCAGCAGCCAAGATAATGGAATTTTGACTTCTGAGGTTCTTTTTTTGATTACTTCAGGTTAGGAGGAGTAAAAGCTTAAGCTTATTCCTTGGCTAGCTTGTGCAGGATTCTGGTAGCCTGASTTCTCTGGCAGTTTCTCTGGAAGAACAGTAGAATTGGTTATGTTGCAGAGTAGCCAGCTAAGACCTTTTAGCTGGCTCTTGTGAGCCCTGCCACTTCAAAGTGGGAAATCTATGAAATTACAGGTAGATAACAGGTAAACTTAAACAGATGATATTTTTTCCCCTCTCCTCTCAGTTTAAAACTGTAATTCAAGCTTCACAGCCTTTTATTCAGGAAGAGAGAAGAACAAATCTTCATTAGACTGCAGAGCACATGAGGCTAAGCAATTGTGCCCTTACAGGAAGGGAACCCAAGGGGAAATGGCAAGGACACAAAGATCACCAGAGTGCCACAGGGATTTATGTTGTGCTTTGGTGTTGTGTTCTGTCCCTGGGGAGGTCAGACAGTAGGAGACACTTGCCATATTCTTGCCAATACGTGAGACATACTCAGGGTTTATCACTTCATCTACAAGCAGTTTKAATTTAAAATATAGACCAGAACAAAACTCTTTAGATTCCTACTCACTTACAAGTAGTTGTGTTCTGGCTTTTGCCAGATTTAACAGCAAAAGAAATTTCCACTTCACTGAAGTACTTTATTTTGTATGATTTTTACACAGCCAGGGAGTAAACTGCATGAACATTCCCTCTTGAGTAGTTTTCAATCTCAATTAGATTGTATCGTTACACCTTCTTTTGTGGTCATTAAACCTACTTTGTGTTACATTTTATTAGCATCATCTTTGGTTATCCTCTTGGCAGGAAGCATGGTGAGCATTTCTGAAGCTTTCTATCTCACTGTCCTTCAGGACAGGAATGTTTGTTGTGTGCACTCTACTGAGAATGGAGAGTTTGTGGCTTAAATCACAAAGCTRCTTCCTTCCCAAAGTCCTTGCTCAGTTGCTTACAGCACTTAAGGCTGAGTTCCCTAAAACTTTGTTTGATGTTAATGCCCATCTCAGTAGAATTTGGTGCTCTACCCGAAAGTGCTTTTTTCCCAGCCTCACTGTTGACCAACTTGTCCACTTTTTTTACTTTTTGCAGTACAGACAATATAACCTTAACCAGGCAGCCTTAGCATACAGTTCTAGCAGGAAATCTGTATATCCTRGATCAGCTGGCTTTCCAGCTATAGTAGGAAATGGGGAGGATGGTAATYATCTRTTCCCAAGATACTGAGACTCTATGCATTGAAATGTGGGAATTTTTTTYACTWCTTCAAGGTTTCGCTCTGTTTTATGTAATCAAGTCCGTTATGAATACTGGTACAATCTGAAATGGTTCTACACTGATGATGTGAACAGTTTTACTACTCCTTTAGTATTTACACTAATAAAATTGTTCATGAGCTGTTAGAAAAACCAAGGAAGAATTTTCTGCCACAAGCTGAAATYCTTTTCAGAAACCACATTTTAAAAAGGAAAGTGTGTTGGGCTCTACATGTGCCTTCAACTTTCTGAGAATGGCTCTTGCTTCGTTTTGGTACTTAATCATGTTCATAAAAGTGAGTTCACTGTGCTATTGTAAACTGAGGAGGAGGAGGATGCTTAAACATGTTTGTCTTAAATACTGATGTTTACAACCATAGCAAATACTGATCATGTTGGAGAAAAAGCACAAAAATGGTGTATCGTCCTAAAACCATGTGCCTCACTGTAATGTGACCACTAAATTTTTTAAGAGCTGTGGAATTGTTTTGTAAAATAAAAACCAAACTCAGAAATTCTCTGCAATGTTTTACACTGTTACTGATTCTGCTTGCTGATGTGCTTTTTCTATGTATTGACACTGTTTGATTTCTACTTTGAGAAACATCTTTTTTTCTAACTTACAACTTTCTCTGTAATGAAGTGAAATCTTTATAAGTGCTGKTTTTTCCCTTCAATAAAGCTGCATTAAATGAATTGCTCTTGTGATTAATACAGTGTTTTTAATGATGCTGGTTCTCCAGATGATGCTGAAATTGCTGTGGATAGTTTGTTTTCTTTTGTTTGTATGCTTATTTTTTAAAAAAGGTTTTGTCCTGTCCTCACTTCCTTTGCTGTGCAAGCAACRTGATCTGCTGGGGGAATTTTTTGTGTCACCAATGTTTTGCAGCAGCTTCACCCAGCAGTTGCATACACCTAGACAACTGGTTGGCAYAACTGGAGTTGTTAAGGTGAGGATGATATTTTTATTACTTCTTATTTATTTACCTCAAGAGTCAACCTAGATAATGCCAAAAAACTATCCTTAGTTCAAGCTATAGTCAAAATAATACCTGGTGCTGCTCTGTCAGCAAAGACAASAGGAAGCAACATGCCTCTGAAATAAATACACTCTGAGTGCTGATGTACACTCAATAAACTGTAAATGAAATAAAATATCAATGATTTATGAATGTGTATTAAAAATAATTAGAGGCAATTTTTTTTTTTAACTTTCAAAAAGCTGGTCTGTTTACGTGTGTGCCTAATATGCATCCAAAGAGATGCTGTTGTTTAATAGTCCTTGGCAGTGTATCAAAGCTGTGCATCAGGCTGTTTGGGGTATGTTACACTTTCTCCTCATTGACAGGCATGTGGCTTTTTTCCCTGTCTGCAAGGGTGGTAGTGAGACCTGCGTGCTGTGGGAGACTATTAAGTTTTCAATTACCTCTTTCCTTTTTTTTTAATTCTAAACAAGCTCTGTCTTGCAGCTGACTCAACAGAAATTTCTACCCTACAGGAAACTCCAAAGGTGCTTGGAATACAAGCAGCAGCCTGTCTTCTGTAGTCTAGAAACCTAGGGGTTTGCATTTTATCTTTTTGAAAAGGTTAGAGCATCCAAGGAATGTCAGGAAAGCCTAATACATCTGTGTCATATCAAGACAACAGTGATTCCTCAAAGGGCAATAAATCCTTTCCATGTCTAATAGCTTGGAGGTATTTTGCTTGCCTAATGTAACCTGCATAACAACAAAACTGTTGAACTTTGTCTTTTCATTCTCATGCTGAGGTCTTAATACTTGAATGATTAAAAAAAAAAAAAAAAGTGAAATCCTTGAAATCCTTACACAGTGATCAGCTGCCCTAAAGTGCATTCTGTTGATAAATGACTTTGCCCCTTAGAAATGCCCTTCAAGGGTTTGTCAGTTGTGCTACAGCATCTACTCCCTGAATCCCATTACYTTGCATTCAAATTCAGTGACGAGGACCCTTTTGTCTGCCCCCTTCCCTTCCCTTCTCCTTCCCCAAGGTCTGATTTGAAAGAGAAGGTATTTTATGGGTGTGAGCCATTCAAAGGTGGGGTTGATCGTTACTTCCATCCCTTATTTGTACCTTTCCTGGTGAKTYCAGCCTTGCTTGAAGCACATGTTGSGATAYAGGCTTGTAACTGCCCAGYCATGAAGCGCTGGAGATTCCTAAARGGGAAAAATTCTGWTTTTCTCACTTTCARAAGAAAGCTGCTGATGAATTAGAGATGTAGCAGTCTATCTRAGCTGCCAATCTTTGGGACTGATATTTTAAGTTAGCCTGGTTGAAACCCTTTTAAGTTTCTCTCACATTCCCTTGTGGCATCTCTAAGAGAAGTTATTCCCAAGAATTCGTGCTTTAAAACCTCTGTGGGAATAAGTGTGGAGTAACATGGGTGTAGTGTAAAAATGGTATAATGAAAGTGTAGTCTGGTCAATGTGATTTCACTGCTGCTCTTAAGGGCTGTCATGTCCTAAAATCTGGGCAAGTACTGAGAGCTGGAGTGAGATTTTATATGGGGGCAGATAGTGACAGGACAAGGGTGAAKGGCTTYAAACTGAAAGAGGGGAGGTTTAGATTAAGGATTAGGAARAAATCCTTTMYTGTGAGAMTMGTGAGGCACAGGAACAGRTTGTCCAGAGATGCTYCTGATGCCCCATCCCTGGAAGTGTTCAAGGCCAGGCTGGCTGGGGCTCTGAGCAACCCAGTCTAGTAGAAGGTGTYCCTGCCCTTGGGARGAAGGCTGGAATGAGATGATCTTGTAGGTCCTTTCCAGTCTAAACCRTYCTRYRAYRCAATCTGTGSTGTGAAAACAAAATATTTTATCATGGGCAAGTACTTGTGTGGTTTCTGGTTGTGTGTAACAGGATGTGTCAGGCTCACCACTTTTGGGAGAATCAACTGCTTCAATGGAGTTATACTTACAACTTTTTAACCCTCATTGTTAGCAGAAAGCTTTAACCTGCAMAACCAGGTCAAAAGTGCATGTTTGGTTTGCCCAATAAACACTGAATGTATTACTTCTGTTACTATATATAATAATATGTTAGTATACGTAATAATTAATATTATTACAATATCTCTGTTCTGAGATATTGTAAGTAGAACTCATAGCTTTGTTTAGAATCTCTTATTTTTTTTCTGATCTTAAAGATGGGAGCAGTAAGTTTCTACCTCTAGGTGATGATTCATGTCTGTGACATCACTGAGGATCTTCAAGTAGAAAAAAAAAACAAATTAGGGGAAAGTATAATTGTTGTTAAAACAAACTAAATTACATTTATCAGCAGCCTGGCTACATATGTATTTGGTTTGCTGTCCATATTTTGGTGAGGGGGCTACAGGGTTGGCTTTTCAGGGAAGCTGGCACAAGTGTCCCATATGTTGATAGAGCCAAAGCCAGCTGGTTTCAAGATGGACCCACCACTGGCCAGGGCTGAGCCCACCAGAGACAGGGGTAACACCTTTGGGGTCCCATATTTGAGGAGTAAAAAGCCTTGTGCTAATGCAGGTGAAGAGATGGGAGAGAATTTGTGGGAGAAACAGCRCTGCAGACACCAAGGTCAATGCAGAAGRAGGGACAGGAGGTGCTCCAGAGCTGAGATTCCCCTGCAGCCCCTGGTGCAGCCCATGGTGAGGCAGCTGTGCCCCTGCAGCCCACGGGGGTCCATGGGGATGCAGAGATCMMCCCWCAGCCTGTGCAGCTCCCCACGCCACAGCAGGATGCCCACAGGAGGCTGGGACTTTGTGGGAAGCCCAAGCTGGAGCACACTCCTGGACAGAGGAGCCCACACTGGAGCAGGTTTGCTGGCAGGAYTTGTGACCCTGCAGAGGCCCCACACTGGAACAGCCTGTTCCTGARGGATTTCACCCCATGGAAGTGACCCACACTACAGCAGTGTGTGAAAAACTGCAGGCTGTGGAARKACTGATGGAGAAGTTCWTGGAGMACTGTTTCCYATGGGAGGGATCCTATRCTTGAGCAGGGGAAGAATGTGATGATCCATCCCCTGAGAAGGCCACTGGCAGGGAGGAGGAAGAGAAAATCAGGAGTGAAGTTAGGCTTGGGAAGAAATGAGGGGTGGAGGGAAGGTGTTTTAACATTTGTTTTTTTTCTTATTAGCTTACTCAGTTTTGATTGGTAATAAATTTAACTAATTTCCCCAAGTCAAGCCTRTTTTGCCCATAATGGTAATTGCTGAATGATCTTTCCCTGTCCTTATTTCAACCCATGAGCCTTTTGTTATATTTTTTCTGCCCCTGCACAGCTGAGGAGGGGAGAAACAGAGCAGCTTTGGTGGATACCTGGCACCCATCCAGTCAACTCATCACACTTTTCTTTGGTGTTTGTTTTTTTTTCCCCCTTCTCTTTTTAAAAAGCAAAAGGATTGCTGTGGAAAGTTTCCCCTGCTCTCTGGGCTCAGAATTAATCTCAGTTATAACAGCAGACAGGGAGGTACCACTTGAACAAGCTGCCTGCCTTGCTGCTAAAAACACACCCGGTGGAAGTTATTGAAACTGTCCCCTCACCCYGACATTAATGAAAAGGCTAATCTTCTTTAAGTCTCTTCTAGCCTAGCAATCTCTTAAGGGGCTGGATACATGATTAAAAAATGGAAAGCAGCTGTCTTTTTATCCTTTCTTAATTATTCYGTGGTAGCTGATAGGTGTTGATTTCCTGGGAGTGTGCTGGTGATGGAGGTTACATTTCCCTCTGTTGTTGGGACTCAGTGTTCAGAGGAGGGTTAGGAGAATGCTGTGCTGGGAGCTTTGGAGATGGAAAGAGTGAGTCTTATTTTCTGCAATTTCATCTGATGATGAAGGGCTGCCTTTTATTTGGAAACATGCAGCTAAAGGCYGAAAAACAGCTATCCAGTGTCAAGGCAAGAAAGGCCTCTTTAATTACTCTTTTTGTTTGGTTTTTTTTTTCTTTCTTTCTGTATACCTCACCAGCTGGTGGCCAGGGGCATTTAAGAACAAGCTTAATTAGAAAGTCAAAAATAACCCCTTGCTTTTTCCTGCTGTAGCTTGGTGAGTAAAGTCCACTAAGTATTGCAGGATTGTTCTGATTGCTCTTTCACTGCTCTTCCCAGTCCTCATTGCTTCATTTAAAATATGAGTTACTAAATTCTTATTAGTAAATTTGAGATGATTGCGCTCACAYTTTGAGCTAGTTCTGACTGGCTATGAGCCACAAGGAGTCTGATTCCTGCTTGAAGTGCCCAACACTTCCAGCTGGGTTTCAGGGAAAGCTTACAATGTTGCAGGTTCTATAGGAGCATTTTCTGTTTCTTCTGCTGCCCCTACTGATTTGCTTGTCCAATCAAATGGGGACAAGTTCAAGAGAGGTAATAAACAGTTTTCTGTCCTTCATTTGTCCTACTTGCAGTGGCACTGGCTGTGAGATACTATTGTGCTCCTCTTTAAGTCCAGTTACCTTTTCTTCAAACATCAGGTTTAGGGAGCTTTAACTTCCAGCCCAAAAAATAATCTACATCTGAGAATGGATTGTTCTCAGTGCCCTGGCAGTACCTACAGCCAGTGACATTATTCTGTTTGTGCTTTAGTGTCAGCACCTGTASACTTGGAAAATTAATCTTGCAAAAAAGCAGGAGAAAGAAGGGATGTTTGGAAAGCATTCCAAGTTGTAATCTAGGTGAATGGAGKGACTAAAGATTAGAGGATGCTCTAACTTCTCCTAAAACGAGCTRAATATTCAATGTCAATTCCCACATATAATGTTTTTGTTAAATRAAAAGCCAACAATAAACAAATAACTGTAACTCAACCTCCCTGGCTTCTGTTCTGCAGCCYTCTCCCATGATGTGCGTGACACAGAGATGACACAGAGACAGCGCACAATGCAGAGAAGCCTGATTCACAAAATCTGGATGTGTATTTTAGTAAAATCTCAAGCCCAAGTACRTTCAGCTGATCATGTGCTTGTGTGTGTGCAAACTTGTTATTTCTTTGGTTAATTCTTTTAGGTTGGAAAGATATGTCAGTGGTGAACTGTACCTTCTGGATATGTAGCTACATACATCACAAATTGCTCATAGGATGAACTCTTGGAGCTGAAACACCCTTCCCCATGCTGAAAATAGTAATTGGGCTGTACCCACTAACCAACCACAGGTAATGACTCTCATTCTGGAAAATGTCGTGGTTTCAGGCATCCTGACCTATGGTAACAGAGTTACTAAAATTCATATTGTGTGAAAGTCAGGTATTTTGTTAGATTTCTTTATTTTTCCCTCTGGACACTAGACTTCGAAGCATCAGACACCTTGCATGAGTGATAACCATAAGCACACAAGTGTTACCTACTTCTGGGATCTGGAAGTGCATTTTATTACTGTGCAGGATACAGTTCTAGTACGATACTCCAAAGTAAACATATTCATGCTTCTTCTTTAGGGATGCTAGGTGTGAAAATCCAATTTAATTGATAAATACTCSCTTCCCAACCCATTACAAGAACATGTCCATTATCCTTCCATATACTCTTCCTTCTCTACAGCTTAGTCCTTTGGGCAAGCAAAACTCCAAACAGGACCTCCCTTTCTTTTCCTCTGTGACAGACTCTGTTTCCAATACATCTTTGCTGAGCATATTCTTTACCTCCAGTGATGCTCCAGTGTGTGCTGGTGAGAGGGTGTTTCACTTATTCATTTGCAAACCTTTCCACCAGTGTGAACTGTTGTTGCTTTTGTGCATGAGTTTGGTTTCCTTTAAGTTCTAAGCATCTCAAGGAAGGTAGATTTGATCTGATTTTTGGAGGCTCTAATCCAGTGTCACTCCACTTGAAGCCCTGTAAGAGATATGGGCAGGGAGTACTTCAGAAAGCCAGGCTGCTTCTCTTTTAATCTGTCTACAGAAGAAACTGTGTGTAACTACTGAAACATTACTACTTTTACGAGCTCTTGCTCTTTACTTGCCTCAACTTTGAATTTCCTGATTTCTGAGTAACTATTTCTAAAGAGTCTRTAGGGAAATAGGGCTTCAGTGAAAAAAAAAAWAAWYYSAAAATAACATGTATCTGATTTAGAACTGACTGAAAACCTGAAGATGTTGAACTGAAATTCATGACACTTCAACCAGCTCCAATTTCTCTATTTACATCTGTAGTAGAATAAAATTAAAAACTGTCTTATATAGTCTCCTATGCATTTCCTATGCCATTTGATTACATGCAGGGGAAATTGCAGTAGTAGATTCTCTCTCCTCTTTGAGTATTTGGAAAGGAGAGCTCAAACATGAACATATTCCATTTACACAAGCATACCTGAGATGCAATTATTTTTCCAAATGTAAAGTGGTACCTTCCAGATACCTAAATATCCTATCAATTTTAAAGCACATTCTTTAGTTGTTCAGGAGTGAAAGTGGGCATTTTATTAACTAGAAGTTGCTATTTGACCCCTGCTAATGTAACTCACAGCCTGAGTTTACTTATAAAATAATCTAGGTATTTTTGGTAGGAGTTGACAATTAAAAAGAGAAGAGCGGAAAGAGGTGTCARTGTGAAGTTTGAAAGCAGAATAGAATCACAGAATGATTTACATTGGAAGGTGCACCTCTCCATTTTTTTAAATGAAAGATCTGTTAAATGATGGATTTAACTTGAATTCTGTTCTATCAAGTCTGCCATGCTCCTTGTCTGTAAAAATCCCAACAGTGATCCACCAACTCATTTTRTCTTTTGGAAAGAGACAGAAGCACAGAAATTAAGCAGGGGCTATTGAATTGAAAGAATACAAAGTTCTCAATAAGCAGACAAAAAATATATTTTTCTAAAAATTACCTGTAACACTCTGTTTTCAAAATCAAGTCCCTGACTATGTCATGTCCAACACAGCAGAAATTTCAAAGACACTATCAGAGACAGATGTATCAGGAGAAGTCAGGCACTCAAATACTTGTTATATACCAAGCCCAGTGTTTACAGGTCACTGCTATTCGTGGGGCCTCCACTTAACCCTTCAGCATGGAACTGAACCCACATCTCTCATATCCTTGGCTGAATGCTAAAATTGCTGGAGCTCTCAGTAAAATGGTGGCTCCTTTGTGGAGGGYGTATGTTGTTTGTTGTTGGATTAGGCTTTTCAGAGAAGGTCTCAGTGTGAGGTSAGAGGGAATGACTTTTTGGGATGCTGAGGGAGCTTTTGTATGAAATGGACCTTGAGTTACTCAGCAGGGCCAGGCCTGGGGCAGTTAAGCTTATACCAGCCCAGAAAGTGTATCTGTCCCTGGAAACGCAGCCAGAGGGGAGCTCAGCCACCTGCAAGGTGCAGCAGGGGTTTTGTGAATGACAATGGGACCAAGGGWCAGACACAATACACATCAAAAATGGAGTGTGGGGACTCTACCTTCTCATTGTGCATTGAAAACTCAGTGCAGAAGGGTCTCATACTATTATATTTTCGTTTAGGAGCATAGAGGAATGAGGTTAATGTGCTTATGCAACATTCCTGGTGAAAATATTTTAAGACAACCTTCTCTGTGTCACTATCTTGACTCTTCCCAGCTCCTTCAGTTAGAGTCCGCACCAGCATGAATGCAATTTCCATGCATTGTTTCAGTCTGGAAATGAAACAATTTTCATTAATGGAAACCTGGTTCTCAAGCAGAACAATTAGACCCACTTCAGGTTGAAAAAAGATAAAAGCATGCTAATTTGGATGGAGGACTCTTCTTTCAAGGCAGCCAATTGAGTCATCAGCCAGCCACCCACCTGACTGTCTAACAGGTAATTAGGAGATAGTCCCCTTTTTGTGTGGAGCGTGTGCGTAAACCTCCACACACTGGTGTCACTGCCCATCGGGACTTCCAGGGGAAAGAGCTAGGCAGTGGCAAAAGAGTGAGGAGAGCACGTTCGTCAGACAGTGCCCAATGAACTGACTTTCATTTAGCTTATTATTTTTGTCTTTTCAACAGCTACCTGAAGTTTCTGGCAGTAAAGTCGTCATGGCAGACCTGGGCTGCAAAAAATCCAGCGACTGCACCGTCTCCAGACTCCTCAGCGTAGTGGAGAGCGAACTCCGGGCTGGGAGAGACAAAGGTGACCCCACGGAGAAACAGCTCCAGGTTGTCTTGGAGGATGCGACACTCTGGCAGAGATTCAGGGAAGTCACTAATGAGATGATCGTGACCAAGAATGGCAGGTGAGTGATCTGCTCAGCACTGCGGGCTCAGTGGAGGTGACAGCCAGGGGGGTTAAGCTCTATAAAATAATAMACTGTGTGTGCAGACTTGAGAGAACTGCAATGAACACACCAGAGTTTTTAGGGRACTGCAGCCTTACAGTCTACTAAAACAGCATATGAACAAGATGGGGTGCGCCTGCTTTTTGGTCCCTGTCGAACCATTCCTGCCATTCGGTCCCTGCCGAACCATTCTTTATTCCTGCAATGAAACATGCTGGAAAAATATATTGACTAACTTGTGATTGCACAAAAAGGGAACTTTTGCAAGGGAATAGATGTTACCTSTCAAAACCTTTGGAATGACTTTTTATGCTAATAATCATCAGCCGATATTAGCAAATCCTCACCCGTAGATTTAAAATTATTGTACAGAAGCTGATTGGTGCTGTTGTCCCTGCTGTAGTTCCCATCCCTCTGGCCTTGGGGATGAACAGCTTGTACAAGCAGTCTGTACCAGAATGGGTACAATAACACTGTGCCCTACATGCTGTATGCATGTGCAATCTGAATTACATGGTACCACAGTTGTTGCTGGTGCCCTTGGAAACAAGAGAGGAATATTGCTTAACACACACAGTTTTAGAAGGACRAAACATTTTCATATAAATGGGCCACATGTCTTACTATTTGGGGAGCACAGAAAAGCACAGGAAAAGAGTGAAAAGTCTGGCGAGAGGGATGCTAATTCTGAATCAGGCAGTGGCTTGAAGAAGGCTCTCCACAGAGATTTTGCTCTGAACTGGGCTGACAGCAGAGTCCAGCCCATAACAGACAAGCAGCTACCAGAATAAGGTTTGCCAGCACAGTGCTACTGGGGTTTTTATTTAATGTATCCTTGCCAACCCTCTGTTGCCCCTTCATCCCACCCATTCCCTCAACATACACACATTTCTTTTGAGAGACMTCTCAGGAGATCCATATAGGAGAGAGGAATTAAGACATGAAGAGAAAGATTTACTCATGTGGTGTGAATTTCATTAATTTTGCAGACTTTGATTTAGCAGAATTTGTGGATGAAATTACTGTTGACTTACTGTAGCTTGATGAGGGACACAGGTGAAAGGAAAAATGTATCCTGGTGGTTCAGCAAGGTAATTCTGTGGAGAGAACAGTACCAGCTTTTGGTGTAACAGTAGCTGTTGCCATTCTGATTCCTCCTAATAACCTATATTGATAGAAATCTGCTGCTGAAATTCTCTTTACATCAAAAATCTGCTTTTGCTTCATTTAAATTGCTTTCAAAACTACTGTTAGGMTACAGCAAACTTGTAAGTGGACTTGCACTTGGTGTAGTGTAGCTTAAACTGGCTCCTTAGCAGCATAAGTGACTAAAAATGAGGTAAAAGGGGTTTGCCTCTGATTAATTAAATTGGTACAAAGAATCACACCTTACCAACAGGGTTTTTTCAGTTTCCTTCCTCGCAGCTAATGAAAATCATGACTTCATGGTGATACTAGTTCTTTCTGAAATGTCAGGGTGAGTGCATAGAAAAAAATSTTTTTATAATGATGATAAGGGAATCTTTCATTATCTGAATATGTCTGGGTACATTTTATTTCATTGTGCAAGCTGCCTTATTTTTTTATTTTAACTTATACACTCCTTATCAGCCTGATTCAACTTTTGCTAAAGCAAATGGCATCTCTAGAAATGTCAGTGGGTGCAGGAATAGGTTCTTTATGATCCAACTACAGCAATCTTGAAATAAAAAATTACAAAAGTATGTCACACTGCCATTTGCATTAATCCTTTAAGTATAAATACCGTAGCATCAGAGACAATGAAAAAGGATCTCTGTGTTTCTAAAAATATCTTTCATAAAAAAAACACATCAGCACACTAAAACAAAGAAAATACAGACAGTGGCCTGCAGCAAAGCACTCTGAACAACTCCATGCTATTCAAAAGGAGACAAACTTGAGACTGTTTCCATGARTGCTGTTTTTCTCTGGTTCAGGATTCTTCAGTGATTGCCTCCAGAGAGATTCTCAGTAGAAAAAACATTGATCTTATTCTGCTGCTGCTAAATCAGTAAAACGAAATTGCTGAAGGGTAGATGAATGCTTTTGAAAACTCTGATTTAGGATTGAAGAGCCAGCCTGAACTTTTCGTGTGAAAACTACAACAGTTGGTATGGACAGAAACATTGTTAGCAAAACTCAGAAATTAAACAGAAACCTGACACGGGAGCATCCCACAGAATGAAAGTCTAATTGATTAGTGATCCTCAAGTGTCAAATTCTAGCATGCATAATTCTATCTGCTCTTACTGAGTCATCTCTAATWGGTACCAAGGGTCCAAAAATGTCATAGTTAGATGAACCAATTTGGGTGTTAATACATAGGATATGTCTCTGTGGCTGTATCATACCTCGTTAYAATAATCACCTGCCCTAGCAATACGCCTAGGGGAGATAGATATATTCTGAACAGGGTAGACATCATTAAAATTAAACCACATGGTAGATCACAAAACACATCCCAATGGGTGCAGTTGATACGGTGGGAAACCATTTCCTATTTTACTCAGACATACGGCATTCAATTGACACTTCAGTATCAGATGCACTGTTATCTGACTGAGTAGATTTTCTCTCTCAGTCTTTACACCATATAGCTGGGCAGTATCCTGAGACTCTGCAATCCCTGTTATTGCCTGGAGATGGGAAGGTGCCACTGCTCCCCTCTGCGTRTGGGGAGAATCCATAGGGGATTGGKGCAGGCAGCCATGAGTGGGGGAAAGAAGCCCTTTCCAGRCTTAAATGCTAAAGCAACTTCTGCATATTTAAGTTGGATATCAAACATCTTCCCACTCAGGTTCTGTACTGTGGAGTAATTGTAGCAGGTCTATGCTAAATAAACTGAAGGGGCTGAAGTGCTCAGCTATTGCCATAACAGAGGTCAGGTGTGCACCTACCTGATCATTGAAACAAACATTCTGACTGAAACAAAGTTGGAGAAATCCCCATTWGCCATGCTAAAAGACAGATTTTAGCGGTAAAGCCACTTAATCWGCAGAACAAGTTAGGTTAAGTTTTCCAGCGTTAGAGTCTGCACAGTCAAAACATACTGATCCCAGTGAGTCAGGGATTAAYTGGGAGTGAAGCTGGTTAACACATGGTTGTGCTCTAATCTTGGTGCTACACGAGGTTAAAATTGATGGTGACTGTTTTCTCTTCTGGAATTGGTCTATTGGTCCTTTGGGGATAAACTTGAGCCTCTCAAATAAAAAGGCAGAGCAGCCTTTTTTGCTGTCCACAAGCGGCCCTGCTTTGTGGGCAGAGGAATTAACAATCTGCATGTAACACAAATAGCTCTGARAAATCCAGAGAAATTAAATTTTCATGTGGATTAATTTCCCCCTCTAATTCAATTTCAGCTATATATCTAAATGTGTTACTTTTAATACTGAATGTAGGAGGTCCAAGGGATGGAAGGAGCATTGCATCCATACTTTCTATCAGTTTGGCAGCTGGTGCATCCTCATCAGAAAGATATGTATAGTGTATAAATCCTTGGCTAAGCTTCTGTTTAATTAGAAAGGTCATGGCTTCAGCACCCTGGAGACTAGTAATGAGAGCTGTTCTTCAGGGGTCAGCATTGGGACTACAGTTTTTCAACACCTTTGTTGGCGACAAGGGCAGTGGGACTGAGTGCACMCTCMGCAAGTTTGCCAATGACCCCAAGCTGTGCGCTCTGGTTGACATGGAGGAGGGACAGGATGTCATCCAGAGGAATCTGGACAGGTCTGAGAGCTGAGCCTGTGCAGACTTCATAAAGTGATCTTTATGGTTCTGCGTTAAAACACAGGTTGGGTGGAGAATGGGTTCAGAGCAGCCCTGAGGACAGGGACTCAGGTGTTGGTGGACAAGAAGCTCAACATGACAGCGCTGTGCACTGACAACCCAGAAAGCCAAACACATTCTGGGCTGCATCTAGAGCAGCATGGCCAGCAGGGCAAGGCAGGGGATTCTCACCCTCTGTTCCACTCTGGTGAGAGCCCACCTGGAAAGCTGCATCCAGATCGGGGGTCTCCAGTACAAGAAGGACATTGACCTGTTGGAGCAAGTCCAGAAGAGACCACCTCTCCTATAAGAAAAACCAGGGATTGTTGCAGTTGTTCAGCCTGGAAAGGAGAAAGACCTTACAGCAGCCTACCAGTACCTAAAGGGGGCTACAAGAGAGCTGGACTTTTTACAAGGTCATGGTGTGATACAAGAAATGGTGAGTTACTGGAASAGGTTGCCCAGAGAAGCTGTGGATGCCCCTTCCCTGGAGGCCAGGTTGAATGTGGCTTGGAGCAACCTGGTCTTGTGGAAGGTGTTGGGGACATCAGTCCAGGGAATTGGGACAAGATGATCTTTAAGGTCTCTTCCAACCCAAATCATTCTATGGTATCTTCTTCAGTACTGCACCTGTGTCGGCAAGTATTAATATTAGAAGAAAAATCTCAGATTTCTCAAATCCTGTCCTTTCCTGTCAGCAGAAGGTGCTGAATGTATACAGCAAGAACTATATAAAGGCATCCAGAAAGGTGAGTGGGATGTCATGGGAGACTGATTATTAGCAATCTCCATTTGGGTGTCACTAGAGAGTATGGCTGCAGGGGCAGAGACTTCCAGTGCCCTTTGAGAAAGCCTGCAGTTTCAGCTCCCTTCTTACATATTTTGGATGTCTCGTGCTGCTACCTAAGCCTAGAGAGCTACCTTAGCCCCATGTCCACAGACCTCAGGCCATTCCTCTGGTTGCTTGGTGTACCCTCTCTGTACTCACAGAGAAAAAGAGCTTGAAGATTYATTTGCCGGTCCATAAAAATGTGTTATGGAGAATCGGCAGCTGCCAGGAGAGGTCAGTATGGAGGTGTCTGGGGCAGGGAGGGCTGCTACTCATGGAAGAAGAATGTGGGAGGTGATATGTAACAGTAATTACATGTGTTCCTTGACAAGCGAAGAAACTTATGAACAGGATACGTTTTTTCTGGGAAACACATATATTCTGCTGTCCACAAATTATTTCCAGTTCCTGAAACTGTTGGAGCCCTATTAGTTCTATTGCTGTGAGCTTTCAGGCACCGAGGTGCCAAATCAAAGCTGTGTGGCATCAATCACAAGCATTGGGACAGACAGAAAACCACTGAAAGTTCAGCTGTAAGGTCCTGAAAATCTCCTTTACAAAAGAAAAAAAAACGTAGTTAAAAGGGGATTGAGAAAAGGTGGCATTGGACCCTTAGGCACAAAAAGAGCATTTTYCCAAAGCTAAACAAAGTCAAGATTTCAGCTTTAAATGTAAGAGATGGTGGAAGGCTGGATAGACATTTAGAGATTGCCTATAAGATGAAACTAAAAGCACAAGAACATGGTCAAGCTGGTGAGGTCAGGCAATAGGGAAATRTAGGGCCAAATTACTGGAGTAATGGCTGAGTGCAAGGTCTGATGGCAAGGGTGGATGGAAGGAAGGGAGGATGGATTGTACACTCGAGTAGTCCATGAGCATCTGGAAACAGACACACTGAGCAGAGTCTTTCAAGACCAGTTTCCAGTGGTGTCCCCCCCTTTTTTTTTTTTCCCCTGGCCAGGCGAATGTTCCCTGTTCTGAAGATCAGCGTGTCAGGCTTGGATCCAAACGCCATGTACTCCTTCCTGCTGGACTTTGCTCCGACCGACGGCCACCGCTGGAAGTACGTCAATGGAGAATGGGTGCCGGCTGGGAAACCAGAGCCACCGAACCACAGCTGTGTCTACATCCACCCAGACTCTCCCAACTTCGGGGCCCACTGGATGAAAGCTGCCATTTCCTTCAGCAAAGTAAAACTCACCAACAAGCTCAGTGGGAGTGGGCAGGTATGGCCTGATGTTTCCACATCACCTCTTGGCTTCAATTGCAAGCACCTACCAATCAAGAAATATCAAGGGTGCATTTATGTAATTATAGAAGCCCTTACAGGCCTCTTCACCCACAGATGCCAATTATTCTCTGGAGGCCAAATGTAAACAGGGATAAACAGGCCTTAATTGGCACTTTCAGATTTTAATGGACTTCTTGATGTTAAGGGAGAAAGAGTGCTGTGGTTTACTTAATCATCAGGGGTCTTTTCAGAGTTGGTCTTGTGTGCTGGGGWTTTTTACATAGGACTTCAGAGAAAAGGGGGAAAAATGGTCATGGGTATTAGGTTTTTGTTGTGTTCCCCAATGTTTGGTGTAAGTGGAATGTTGGCAGGAGTCAGATGGCAGAATAAAAGGCTGCTCCTAAATTAAATAATTACTATGTCTGCTTCTGCATCGTGATAATTATCAATACTCTATTGAATCAGCTCTGGCCTTTGGAAAGAAACCACATGTACCAGAAATAAGTGACTTTCTCTTTGAACCCCTTAAAAATGCAAACAGGAAAATTAGTTTTGTTTCATATTTTATTTGTGATGATGCATCTAAGGGCAAAATGTTGCACAAGACCTTTTGTTCACTTGTTTGTTTTGTACAAAACTCCTACGGTGGATATTTGTCAGCCCAGAATCAATTTCTTTCATGTAAATGTTATACTTCTCTATCTGTTATTTCCATTAGGTTTGTGAGGTACCTCCATAAGCTTAGTACTCTAATGAGGTAGGAAATTATCTCAGGTTTTATAGACTGGAGAACAGGAAGATGAATCTGATCCTTTTCTCAAGTCATACATGGAACCAGCACACAAGAATTACTATAGAGCACAGAACAGGACCTGAATTTGCAAATATTTGTCTTGTACCCAAGACCTCAGAAGAGTCAAAAGTCTCAGAAAAATATGCATGGGAGGGGRAAAAAAAAGCTACAGGAAACTTGGAGGTTCAAAGACCCCATGGGGAAAAAAGCAGGGGAACACCATATATATATATGATGGAGAGAAAGATAATAGAAAGTGAGGAGGAAAAGCCATAGGAGAAACAAAAGTCACTAAATAGCAAATGACTGAAGTTCCCCTTGTTTTCTTTTGAAATCTTGACCACAGTGCTAAAGTAAACCCTGTCCACATTCTGTTCTTCATCTTCCCCTTCTATGATGGTATTAGAAAGTACTTGATGATTGTCAGTGCTTTATGCAAGTAGCTGTGTTCTTTCTTTTATATATATGTATGTATGTATACACACATCATTTTTCAAAGTACAGATTTTTAAAAAGAATATTTTTCTTGTGCTAGAGACAACTAAACAACCTAATAGACTTCCTGGAATCAACACTATTCACAGCTTTYAGTGCCAGGTTAGAGGAGCTGCCAAAGCTTGTTTAGATACTCTTCATCTTGCCCAGAGAGATGACTGGGWGACTGCCTTAGCTTGCTGCTGGCACCTTTTGTGTGATGGTGATTCTGAGTCTTCCTGACAGTAGAAGCAGGACAGGGAGTGCCCCTGAGCTGTTTCAGCAGCCTCTGTTTCAGCAGCAGTGGGAGCCCAGTGGTGTGAGTGCCATAGCTGCTAACACAAATAGTAACACAGCTGTATTGAAAACCTTAGATACAGCCCAGTGAAGTGTCATCCTGCTCAGCCATGGTGCTATTGAAAGGGAGGAGGGCACCTTCCCYCCTGCTTCAGTAACCGCTGGCTGGGGAGGGTCAGCAGGGACACCTGCTCTGTCRTCGAGCTRGAGGGTGGCTGTGAGGTACCAGAGYGGCACTGGGGGCTGTCTCTCTGTTTTGTTTCCTGCAGATAATGCTGAACTCCCTGCACAAATACGAGCCCCAGGTACACATAGTTCGCGTGGGAGGCCCCCACCGGATGGTGATGAACTGCTCCTTCCCCGAGACCCAGTTCATAGCGGTGACTGCCTATCAGAACGAGGAGGTAGGCGGGTGCCACGCTGTGCTCTGGTCACCACTGAGGAGGTCTGTTAGAAGCTGATTAACTAAAACACCAGCAAGCCTTTTTCTTGTTTCCTCACCAGTCCCATGCAGTGTAGTATTCTATCCAGTCTAATACTCTGCCATTTCTCTGCAGTTGAACATTGACTAATCTAGTGTCTGGCTCCAGTACTAAGCCAGGTTTAGCTTAATATCCTGCCACGGCTGTTCCAGTCTGGTCCATCTGTCCTGGCATCCCAATCCTTTACTGAAAAAAAACCCAAACAACCCTAGAGTCAAGACAAATACCTTTCTCCAGCAATAACTGATATTTATAATGATAACCCTGTCTCTCCATGTTCTCTATAATACATACAACTGCAGAGCAACACAATACTCCATGGGAAAATTTCTGCACTTGAGGATGCTYTGTATAGTAAGAATTGCTAGCTCCCAGGCCACATCCCTTAGCTAACGTTGCTGCAGATTTTATTCATACTTGWTAGGAATTCAGTGTTTAAACTCTCTTGAAAGGATCCACCATTCCACAGGATTTGCCAGGCCAGCTCATGCCAGGTTACCCCAACTGGTGTTTTGCTGTGTCACTGATCAGTATACAACACTCTGCGACAAGCAAAACTGTCTCCTACCCAGCCCTGGAAAACATGTGTGGGGATAAATTTTAGGCAAACCCAGGCATGTCCACTCTGGAAGATGTTTTGTCAAGATTCTATTTCAAATTGATTACTCTGGAAGATGTTTTGTCTAGATGTTTCTATTTCAAATTGCCTTCACTAACACGCCTTTTTTTTCTGCAAACTCAAGATAACAGCTCTCAAAATCAAGTATAATCCCTTTGCCAAAGCCTTCCTGGATGCTAAAGAAAGGTGAGCTCATTCTATTTTTTTTAACAAGYAGTTATTTGCTGCTGATGGGGTTTATACTGTGACATCAGCATGTGAAAGATAAATTACATGACTGAGTCTTGTTTCTGCTGTCTTAACTCCAGAGTGACTCAGCTCTTATTAGTGGGGAGACTATATTACAGTAGGTGTTGAAGTGGGTGAATATGCTCTTGGGGATCCTAGGATTTATCTCTGTCTACACAGAAAGCCTAAAATGAGGTGTTGTAAACTTTCCCAGTAGTTTTATACCCCACATATGTACCCCACTGCATTTATACCCCACTGCATTGTACTTGCACTCCAGTAAATCCCGTAATTYGATAGATCAAGGAGGAAAAATCTTAACTCAGGTGTCAAAAAGCATAGCTGRAGTGAAATTATGGTGTAACTGAAATGGAACTACACTGTCGTTATTAAGTCTGTGTTTATTGAAAGTGAGATGTCAGAGATGCTTCCATTAGAAAGTAATTGCATTTATCTTTCAAAATTTTACTTGCATCACCCACACTAATGCAGAGTGGCACCTGAATTATGAATTTCAGCCATAATTGCTAACAATTTTTGTTTGGGCTTGCTTTATCTTCTSACACATGAAGTGTCCCATGTGCCTGCAGGAGGATCTGTATTTCCTTTCATTCCTCTCACCACTTAAGAAGCTGCTGTGTGTCAGTGTCAGGGCTCCCAGCTGGGGAAGGGAGAATGCTGCTTTCTGTTTGCCTGCAAGTAAGAATTGTGCCCACAGGTAGATTTAGAATTCCAGATTCAGTTCCCAAATATGGYACAAACTTAGGAACATTTTTGTTCAGGTCATGAAACATAAATTCCTGCTCCCTTTATGGCAGAATGTAGGAAGGTMTACTGCTGCCTAGCAAGTGTTTAAAGAAGATGTATTTCCCACCTTTTTAACTCACTTCTCTCAATTTTGTACTGAATAGTTCTGGTTATAACTTTCATAATTTCTCAGTGAGAACATTTACTACTAACTGTTTTGCTTTTCAGAAACCATTCTAAGGATGCTCCAGAGACAGTCTCTGAAGGCCAACATATGACATACTCTCACTGTAAGGTTTTTATTCAYATCAGCTGGAAGTTTTATGTGATATGGATGTTGGGAACATGGGACTCCTTAACTGGCTCATACTGGTCACTTACTGAGTCCTGAATTTGTTCATAGAAAGGAACTATTAAAAAAAAAAGATTGAAGAGACTCATATTTGGAAATAATGTCACAGGTTTTGCAGAGGGATCATTTTCCTTACAATCCAATTTTTCAACATTAAAAGAAATCTAGAATCAAGATGTTAAATAACATTTTTAGAGTGTTCTGACCCTTTTTTTTTTGTTGTTGTTTTGTGAATATTTTTGTCGCCTATAAAATTACCTTTCATTGGTAAACAGGTAAAAAATGAGGGGGAGTGGAGGTTTCATTTTCTTTATTGATTTTTTTTCATTTGTTCTTTAATGTTAATGACATTTTCTGATTGCTTTCAGGTCTTGTTTTTAGGGTTGGTGGGTTGGAGAGTGGGTGTGGGGGGATGTATTTTTTTGTTTCACAAACCAGTATCTTGGAATCTGCTTGGTATTTCTGAGGCTCAGCTGATTCTGCAAGGAGGCTGGTTATTTCTTAATTGCACTGTAGCATTTTAACGCAGCATCAGCAATAGTTTTGTTTTCTCTTTTCCCTCAAAGTAGGYGGCTGGTTGATTTCCAACCCAGACCCGATGTGTGCCTCGGGAAGCTCTAATTACCAGTACAGCGGAGCTTTGCCTCTGCCCGCCCCGCACAGCTGCGAGCGRTACTCAGCCCTGCGCGGCCACCGGGCTGCTCCATACCCACCCTCCTACATGCAGAGGAATCACTCCCCTACAGGTACTCCTGGAGCGCTGCTCTGCTGCTTCTGCCTGCCTGCCCCTTGCTTTAGGGCAGTACACATGGAACAAACACGAGCTGAGGCTGGGAAGGGGCGTGGTGAGACTGTAAAAACCTGCACAGAACCCTTCATGAACCCAGCGTGACTGAGGCGCAGAACAAGGGGTACCAAGAGCTGGGGGCACTGTTAATGGTAAACGAGAGTGTATGATCTTGCTTTAACTACAGCTTCCAGTTATACAAAAGGAGCACTGCGGGTCTTCTTTCAAYGTCCTACCATCACACAGTTGGGCTCTCAAGTTAAAGCAGATCTCAAGAACATGGTAGGAACTGATGTGAGACAAAGGCATCTTGGTATTGCCAGAACACCTTTGGAGTCCCTTTCACTTTCTAGATCTGGGTGCACAGTTCCACAAACTGATTCTACTTTSATCAGAAGTTAGTCAGAAAGAAGAGTAAGGATAAAGTAATCTGCTTGCTAATTATAATGTAGCAAGAATTCCTGTTTAATGGAAGTATTTCTAATAGAATGGTTTGGCCTGAAAGGGATCTTAAAGATCATCAWATTGTTCCAATCCTCCTGCCATGGGCAGGGACACCTTCCAGTAGACCAGGYTGCCCAAAGCCCCATTCAACCCAGCCTTGAAAATTTCCAGAAATGGGGCAATATTTATAAGACTTTATTAAGTATTTAAGCTCAAATGATAAGGAATTCTGTATCAAAACGTTGCCAGATATATGTCAATTATTACTGAAAAACTATTAGTCAGACTTACAAAAATGCATATCCTATGTCTATCATGCTGTACCATCTCATATATCACACCTGGAATTGCAATGGCACCTTGTTACTCTCCAAATGAACATGGGAATTTTGTCCCTTTACCTGTGGYTGGGGACCTCATGATCAGATTTCTGCCTTAAGCCTGCCTGTGTTTTGTTGTCTTAAGACAATGTCTCTGCAATAGTCACTGAGGATTTGTTTGTTGCTTTTCTTTCTCTCCCCAAAGTTAATTTATTGGAGAGTTCCAGCAATAATCTTCAGGTATTCTCAGGACATGACAGCTGGACTTTGCCATCRTCTCCACATGCTAATTTGCTCTCAGTGCCACACTCAAAGGGCGCTGCCAGCCCTGGATCCAGGTAAGGTTAAAGGAAAACTGCTGGTATGAGGAACACTGAGGTTTGTAGGACTATCCTGGCAATTTGCCCTTTGTCCCAAACTTTCATCAATGCCTGGCATTTGAAATGTGACCTAAGTGTCCAATTAAAGATTCCTGGATGGACYTTTCTGACAATTATCTTCTGCTCTTAAATCAATGGGAGCTTTATTTTCCAGGATTTTGGAACGGCCACAGAGAACTCTGGTATCTACAGTCTGTGATCATTTAAAAACCAAATTATTTTTCTCCATATATTTCTTACTATWATCCTGTGTGAAATGAAGATCCTATTCTAGGAGTGGATGAAATTTAGTCCTAGTGAATCAATTAATTATCAAATATTTTCCCTTCTTTTCCCCAGATGAATGCACACATTTCTTCTCTAACTTAGGTGCCAGGAAAAACAGACGCAGCTCTCGAAAATGTATAAGCATTCACAAAAAAAAAAGAACCTTAAATCTTGAAACCTCACCTATACTTCTACATTTCTCTCCATGCCGTCCTCCAAGGTCACCAGGTTCGATGGTTGCTGGTGATTTTTCACTTAAGATCRTCAAGGCTGATCTAGTTTAGTAACWTGTTTTGAATAGCTGCCTTTTAACAGATAAGGWAATTGAYTCTAMATGCTTTGAAATAAGTCATTTRATCTGTGCTGCTTTTTTTTTTCAGCCACTACCCTTGCCTGTGGACAGTGAGCAACAGTGCTGTAAATGTTACCAGCCCAGGCAGTGAGGTGAACAGCAGCCCTCCAGGCGTGTTTTTAAGGGGTAATGTCCCCTTACCTGCTGCATCATCAGTGCAAATCCCTCTGCAGGGAATGGTGTCTGGCAGCATGGAAGCACAAGGGGAAGGTGCTCTCGCCAGACTGTCCGACTCCGCGTGGACGTCCTCCCACTCCTTTTAATGGACAGGCAGCTCCCGAGGGAAGCTCAGCCAAACAAGACTGACACAAATGGCAAATGATCCCTGAGGCGTGCAGTGCAGAGCAGAACATATGCAGGAAAAGGACTTCATCACTTCCCATAACGTACCTTTTGTGTGCCAGCTAAGCCAAAATGCAAAGGCAGGAMATATTACAAGAACCAGCTTATTACTGTAACTTTTATGCATCCCTCAGGATGATGTCCAGAAAGAATCTTCTTAGTTAGCTTGCTTCTATATCACATTAAAAATGGTTAGCTGCAGAATGGCAGCTGGATATTTCCATGTCATTTTAGAAATTCTTTTTGTAACTAACAGCCAAGTCCAGGGGAAACCATGAGCAAGTTTGCAACTGGTCATTTGAAGGGATAGCGTTGCTTTAAAGGTTTTCTGTATCTCTTAAAGGTTTTCACAATACCTGAAACTAAACCCCTCAGGCGATGAAATGAGTCTGACATTCTAATGCCACCTGCATACAGCATCCTCTGTCCCCTTCCCTTCTCCAGCTGCTGTTTGCTGTTGATGTGCCATGGGGATAGTTGGCACACTCAGGCTGCAAAAGTGGCTGCATTGTAGCAGCAGGGTGAAAGGCAGATGGTGTAGCTTTTAGAGTCTGATGTTACAGTCTTTGAAATTGAAAGTTCCAGTGTTTCCAATATGTGCTATTTTTGAAAGGGTGGAGGGAAAAGGATTATAGAAAAAATATTCAGCTTTCGTTTCCACTTTGCTTCAGATTCAGTATGAATAAACTATGACTACATGGTGTATTATTTCCTCAGTGCTTTTCCAAGGTRYAAACACAYAGAGACTCTTTCTCACCTAACAACCTCTGAGCTATTTAAAACAGCTCTGCCAGATGCAAGTTGACAGAAATTTTCTATTCCTTGTCCAGTTACAGGGTGTGGGCTCCTGGGTATGGTATTTCGTGTATTCACACCTGTTTTCCTTCTTACTTTGTCTGCTTCAGCGTCCTCTTTCAGGCTACAGATTTTCCCATCCTGTGTGAGCGTACAACATTTAATATAGTGGAGGCCTGATCCTGTCTGGGATTTTTAACCACTACTGTGATGCAAATAACAACAGCCATCCTCCAGTCTTCCTTGTCCTTTCATGTATCTCCTCAGGCAAGCCCTATCAAATTCTCAGAGAAGGTGTTCTTTGATCTATGTAAAGAAAAATATGCAAGCCAACTCATGTACATATGTCCCTGTATAATGAAATGCCCAGCATCAATTCAGGTGCTGAATTGCTCTAAAGAGAGTCATGCACATTGATACGATACAATCCTCAGCATACAAGAGGATTCTCCAAAGCTCCTGTGAGCTTTTTGGTGTCTCTGCTTCTGCTAGATACAGCAACTTTCCCTTTATGAATACTAATTTATTGCATACAGACTCTAGGTGGAACATTTTATTTGGGGTAGACCTTAGAGGCAGCAACAAGAGGAGCCTTTTCATTCATGTTGTCAAATATGCATCTGGCTGGGCAACTCAGCAGGATTCTGTTTGATATTCTATTACCTGGCCCTGAACCATCCCCTTAAGKTGCTCTCAGKGTTCTGCATTTCCCTGCCTTCCCCATCTGGCTTTTCAGATSTGCTGCAGGCAAGATCATRTGCCAGAATGTACTAACACTGTTAGTTTTGCTGACTTGTGCTGCTATCCCCTAGGATCAAAGTAATGAAGTTGCTTTGGATGTGCATTTTTATTAATAGAGGTGTTGGTCAAATAAGAGTTAATGGAGTGCAAAAAGCTCTGCATCCTGCCGTTGGTCTAATCCTTGTCAGTTCTGATTGTAAATCTGCCTTCCCACATTCTGACAAAAGTTTGGTGATGAGTTTCTCAATGTTATATTTCTCTACCTTGCAGCAAGAGATAAGTAAGYAGGTGTTTCTCTCAAAAACAGCTCTGCCTTACAGATAAGGTTTATTAACTAACTTATGCTACCCTCTTCTGGCTGTTCAGCTCCCCACAGACACACCACACACACAGTCTATATAAGATACTAAAAAGCAGGCAAGTGGTGACTTCTCTATGTTCCAGGACTTGCAATATTTCCTTCGTGGCCAATGAGTTGGATAATTTCTTATCCCAGATACTGTATTACAGTAATGCAGAGTGATTATAAGGTGTTACACGAACTGCATTTTTATTTCATGGATAAACAATCTGGGAGAACATCTAATTAGCTTTCCTGATTGTCCTATAGGATTGAAAGAATTAAAAATTATCAAAATGAACAGGCARTATAAGTTTTCATTCTTGTCACTGTAAAAGCAGCCATGAATCACGTCACAGGAGGCTAAAAGTTCTGAAATTTCGAATCAAACTAAGTTTTTGTCATTGCAGACAAAGAAAMCAAACCTGAGAAATGACACAGCAGGATAAAAATATCCTTAGTTTACTCACTGCTCTTGGCCCCATCTCAGTACAAGCTGGTATTTGTAGTTGAAAGCCCTGGGCTTGAGGAGAACCAGGAGAATGGTGATCTTGGGTTTGGTGCTGGGGTGTCCTGCAAGGAACAGGTAATTGAACTCAATCCATATGGGTTTCTTCCAACTTGACATCTGTGATTCTGTTCTATGATTTTGGCACTTTGGTAAAGGATTTGAGAACTGATAKCTGGCTTAGACAGATTACTTCCAAGCAGTGGAAGCACCAGAGAAAGCTTTTGCTACTTGCTCACAAGAAAAACTGCTGGTTTAACTTTGCCCCTCTTCCTTCCCAGTGCAATGGACTTCCCTACAGCACAGTAACAGGCTGGAATGCTGGCTGCACTGCTCTCCTGTGGAGAGGCAGAATCCCTTAAACTGTGTATAAAACTGTTCCCATTCCAAGAAACCATTACTGTGGATTTTATTTTACACCAAGAGTTCACTTTTTTCTCAGCAGATTTCTGCTTGCCATTGAAAAACATACAATGAWAATTTCTGAGTGACTATTTCACTGGCTGCTGTAAGCAGTAACTGAAATGGCAGCACAAGAGGAGAACAAAGAGMCCCTTCCTCAGTTTTTATATCTTTTGGCAAAATCACTAGGTGACTTTGTAGAAAAGAAATACACTAAGAGACTGGAATAGCTGTTTAGAGGTTGCCAGGGTAGTCAAACTACTTGGTATTAAGGATGGTTCATAATTTTTAACTTMATTTGATGCTGCAGCCTACATGGTAGGTTTTTGTCCTGCCACAAGCAATGGTGGGTTTATGGCTGGTACCTCTCAGGCTTCTTCCCCGCACAGCCACAGGGCCAGGCCTTGGGAACACAGATCCATGCAAATCTCCATGCTATTAGAGGAAGCAATCCTTTGTTTTCAATTTCTACAGGGCTTTAGCACTGTTCCCAGCTACTAAATGAGAGATTGCGGGGTGGTCTGTGCAACGCCTCATTTAACTGTATTAACAAAGAAGGGGAGGGAAACAGTTAATAAAAGCAGAACAGTTATAGGGTAAAAAAACTCCAAAGTTAAGACAACCTGGTTATCTCCCGGTCCTGCCCCAGGGTCTGCAGCTATAACAGAGCCTCTGTGTCCCTGTCTTTTAAATCCTTCCCGAGGGTTTCAAGAGCCCCTGATCGGGGCTTCTCCTCAGCCCTCCTGCCTGCCCGCCTCTCCCGCTGGCCTCARCCTTTTGTCTCCGGCTTTTCCCTCGGAGTTTATTCTCCTGGCACTGGGGCACGGGGCTGCCAGGAAGGCAAGAAATAACCTGTGGCCATGCCGAAGCGTGGAGCAGTTTTCCCCTCAGAGCCCACAGGTGCCCAGAGCGCTCCCTCTCCTCTGTGGGCCCGTGGGGCAGCGGGGCCTGCCCGTGTCTGGACAGTGCCCTCAGAAACACGGCATCGGCACAAAAAGGTCACCTCTCTTAGGCTTCGGTGTCTCTTTGGGACATGCAGCCCACACACATCACTCAGGCCAACAGAAGGGCTTCAGGTGTTCTCTCCCTTGACTGTGGAATTTTCATGGAACGTCCCAATGCTTCTGGATAGGCAGAAAAGCAGAGAGCAGGTAAACACTACTTTCCGGAATTTTCCAGTACCAGCCCAGATGTGTTCCGAGAGCCAACCCTGGGTGCCCAAAACACAAACACCCTCAGCCCTTTGTCCACACTGCGGGGCCACAGCGGGTGCTTGGTTTGTTGCCTTGAAAGGCTAGTTTTTAATAATGACAGACATGGTTAAGGGGATAAAAAGTGTTTTACTTCGGTACTTGGGATCTCAGGTGCACAACTTGATGGCAGAATGCACACCTGTGTACAGCACGGGTACAAGTTTTATAGGTTTCAGGAATTAGTATATCTAKATAGGATTCTCTAATAAGAAACTTAACAAATGCAGTAATATCTTCTTATTCTAATGAATTCTCTCCTGGATGAGGTTAGAGCTTAGTTTATACAAGATGTTCTGGACAGAAGGCTTTACTCAAGGCTGGAGTCTTGGGTTTAAGATAGCACAGGGTACACTGACTCTTTCTTCAGGATGTTTGGTCTCTCTGCCCAGCAGAACTCGTAAACTAAGCTGGAATATCARGCTTCAGGAATTACAAACATGTGGGTTAAGGGGTACAGGCGGATGCATAGACGGTATAGAAAGCATAAAAAGGAAAAGCAAAAATCATCAAGCATCAGGTTCAATTCAGGTGTGGTTTTGTCGTGAAGCCGGTCCTGTGTTCTCATCCTTGGGCACATCCTCTGCGCAGCTCATGTGGGCTCCGTGTTTCCGTTTGCTCTTAAAATGACCACAGTAACAACTGCTAGTATGTGACCACTTTTATATTTTAGCCACATATACTGGTTATACAAGATGTWTGTCAGAAATAAACCTTCTAAATGTAACACACTGGTACAAAGATACCTAATGGTTCTACAGCTGTTGTGTCTCATAGTGTGGTAGGCCTACAGCAACAATAAATAACAGCCCTTACCACAGAGATGCTAATGCCTTTTATTTTGTTTGAAAGTGTCTCATTTTGAGAAGTTATCAAAAAATAAATTATGAGTGATTTTTATGGTGAGTTGAAGGATGCGCTCATTTTTAAAATGAAGGATTAATGGAACTAGGAAAGGAAGTGAATTATCTGGACTGAAACCCTACAGTTTTCATAGACTCTCTRTAGGACTTCGTATAAATGACTTACAGCCTGATAGGTCAGGTGCCTGAGCATTTATTGTCTCAGGCAGTGTTGCATCAAACATTTCCATTTCTTATCTGAAAACTGGGCATTTTGCCTCCCTCTCAACCTCTGTAGTGGAAGATCTGTGGGGTAGGAGCTCCTCTTACAGCCCAAAATGTACAAATGAGGTCTTGTCTTGCTAGGGCCTTTTGGGGTAGTCTTACATGTAAAAATTACATATCCTTGAGTGTTTGTATGTG